CCCAGACCCCTAGCTAACTCGTGCCTGCGGAACTCGGCTCACATCAGGCTCACACCTTCGGCTATCGCATACTATCCTGGGGGGGGGGGAGGCAAGGAAAATGGGCCCTTTGGCAGTTTTGCCCCACCACTGAAGAATCCTTAAAAAATGCACTGATATTTATAGTGTCATAGCAATAGTTTTATGCAACAACAGTCCTTATTAATGTATAGAATAGAAAAAAGTATAGTGTGAAGTAAGATTATATAACAACCACTTCAGCCTGAAGTCAACATTCACTGGTTCTTTCATGCGGGGCTTTACTGTAATTCACGTTTTTGTGAATTCTACATTAGAAATCTTGCAAAACAACAGCTAGGTGAAAGCCTATTAATATCTCAACTTAACCCTGTCCTTAATGTTAATATTAGATCTACCCCTCTTGAGTTATTTTAGTTATGTAATATTAACCTTAACTATACTAACCATGCACTTAACATTAATCTTTACTTATTAACTAGTTACTGATAAGTTGGTTTCCTTTCTTTCTATTCATTTGTTCTTTCAAACTATGTAACCGTTTTTGTAATGTTAAACCATTATTTTGTAAATATATATACCATACCCTGTAAACAACGAAACGTTAGTTAATAAACTTTTTTTTTACTTTTAATATGTTTGGATTTAAAGTTATTTGCTGGGTCTGCTCTTTATCTTTAAACTAAGATTTCTGCCTGGTGTATCAATTGCCATAGTTTTAAAAAAACAACAGGTGTTCAAAACCGGAAGTGCTGTAAAACGGGCATTTTGGGGAGTTCGCAATAGGTCTATTTTACAGTAAAGATTATACAAAGCCTTTGTGACAGAGCCATGGTGCACAACGTCCTGTGTACCGATAAAGGTCGCGATCAGAACGACATCAAAGTCATTACGTTATTTGAGGCCTGTTCAAACGAAGGCAACATGTTGGTCTAACATCAACCAACAGGCCTCGTTTCAACACTGTGTTGGATAATGTTGCAAGACTGTGTTGGGTAATGTTGCAAGACTGTGTTGGGTAATGTTGCAACACTGTGTTGGGTAATGTTGCAACACTGTGTTGGGTAATGTTGCAACACTGTGTTGTGTAATGTTGCAAGACTGTGTTGGGTTATGTTGCAACACTCTGTTGGGTAATGTTGCAACACTGTGTTGGGTAATGTTGCAACACTGTGTTGGGTAATGTTGCAAGATGTTGGATCGGATTTGACAACATTTAACAATGACACGTCCTGGTCTTTGGCAAGCTCTCCCGACATCGTAACGAGGCTTCAGCTTCACGTGCAATGCCGAACGACAGAGTCGAATTTTCATGACCAAATTTTCGTTTAAATTTTCTTTCTTATATGTGAAAAGAATCGTACATTATAGTTTTGCAACAAGTTCATTTACTCTATTGCCTTACAGCGTAAAATTTTCCTTTGCCCTGACTTCGCTTACAAGTTACGACAATCTAAAGCTACGTTTACACGCTACGATTTGTTTACACGGTACGAATATTTCTAACCAAATAATTTTTTATTATCTCTGTGGCGAAAATCGGATATAACTACATAGCCACTTTACCACAATAAGAAAATATTGTTTTACTTCCTACAAAAAGTCCGGCAAATTTCAAGGTGCAACCTCAAAATGACTGGACGTGTGATTAGAAAGTCCAAAAGTCCCGCACACTTTCTAGGAGTAATTTTCCCCTCGTCAAGAACAATTACTATTTATTTCCTAGATTGCGATGTTTGTGTTTTTGGTTGCAAAAAATTCTGTCCAACTTTAATTATAACCAAACCAAACTTCAAGGTCTGAATTGAATACTGGGTTTTAAAGTAGTGTGAATAAGTATATTAATTTATGGTATGAATACGAATATTTGGGGTGGAATATGAATATTGAGGATAAAAATTTGAATTGGAATGAATTTGGGATAGTGAAGAAAGGAAAAATGTTGAAGTAAAGATATTCCGCTTCAATACTAGGCTGCCTTGCAGACGTCCTTGTGGCGAGGGTTGAAGTCACATAAGGACGTCTGCGAGGCGAGTTACTTCAAAATAGAAACGACGGATGTTTGTGGTAACATGGGCGGAAACATGACGTACCCTCATCCGCTCTCATGTGTTTACAAAAGACATGATGTCATCGTTAAAACTTGCAACTTCGAACTTCGTATGTTTATTTTGGTTATATGTATAATTCATATTTTCAAACCAACAGCTCATTTCAAGATTTCCTTCACAAACACCTCAGCCTTATCCTTACCAGTCAAGACATACAAGCATGCATGCAGTCAAACATTGCCTATAAGGCGTTTCAAATATATATAAAAAGCCAAATAATAATACAACAGTACATGAAAACGTTTGCAATGCCGATAAAAATATTGCAGTTGATTGAAGTTTCCTCACTTTTTAATATTTGCATACGTCACAATTGACTCACAATTCACAAACTGTTACCATGGTAACACAGCATGTGAACAATGTTTATGATGATTAGTTTATATGCGGGGGTGGTTATGTTGTTATTCTATTAATACGTTGCACCAGTCGTAGTATTTACAGTGGCTGGGTAAGAGGGCTACCTCGTATTATACACAGAGAGCTCTATATATCTGGAGCGAGAACTTCAGTCATGCGGCCTATGAGAAAAGTGAAACCACGATGGCGGAAATTGCCGTCCTTATAGCTAATAGCTATAAAGGTCGTAAAATGTTTAAATTAATACCACTTTCCCCCCAGCTAAATCCAGTTTTTTTAACGGACCGTATCGCTAGGCAAGGTGTTGTTCTTTCAATCGATGTCAAAATACGAAATTTCGGCAAACTCCTTACCAGCTTCGTGTTAACCGCGCAGAAAAAAACAATAGAAAGAGACTGGAACTGACGTCTAATGCGTCCAATAGCTCTTCAATTTCCGCCATCTTGTCTACACACCCATGAATGGATTGATTATTTGCCGCTGCATGCGACACATCATAACCAGACATGAAGTACATACCCATGATGGACTGATTATTTGCCGCTGCATGCGACACATGACCAGACATGAAGTACACACCCATGATGGACTGATTATTTGCCGCTGCATGCGACACATCATAGACAGACATGAAGTACATACCCATGATGGACTGATTATTTGCCGCTGCATGCGACACATCATAACCAGACATGAAGTACACACCCATGATGGACTGATTATTTGCCGCTGCATGCGACACATGACCAGACATGAAGTACACACCCATGATGGACTGATTATTTGCCGCTGCATGCGACACATCATAACCAGACATGAAGTACACACCCATGATGGACTGATTATTTGCCGCTGCATGCGACACATCATAACCAGACATGAAGTACACACCCATGAGAGAAATGTGGTTGCGTGTGCAACCGATATTTAGTGCAGCAACTTTCAGCAACGGACTGATTATTTGCCGCTGCATGCGACACATGACCAGACATGAAGTACACACCCATGATGGACTGATTATTTGCCGCTGCATGCGACACATCATAACCAGACATGAAGTACACACCCATGAGAGAAATGTGGTTGCGTGTGCAACCGATATTTAGTGCAGCAACTTTCAGCAACTGATGAAACATGCGCCGACCTCCTTCCTCGCATGTTTCATGCGTGCATTCCACGAAGCAATGTACACACGCATACAGCTTGTAACAAACCTGCAACAGACTTGTACCACTGTTGTTTCAACAACTTGTCATCAGCATGCTTGTTCCCAGCTTGTTGGAAAGTTGTTAACTGCTTGTTATACAAGGTTATTGACTCAACCGACTTGTTACAGGTTGTTCCAACAACGAGTAATCGTCCTGCAATCCAACAACTTTACAACAAGTTGTGAGTGACAACCTTGCAGCATGTTCGTAAGGTCACTACAGATTTGTTGCAAACATATCTTGTTGACAAGATTGTGACGTGTGTAGTGTAGTCAAGCACCTAAGAACGAGTCTGTCGGTACGCCTTTTGTTTGTAGGTTCCTTCACGTGCAGGCTCTCTATGTCTGGTTTCAATTAAATGTAAATCGGGATTACAATTATGTCCAGTAATGGTGTAGGTAGCAAAATAAACCCTTTCTCACCCATACTGTTGTGTCTGTGTACTGCAGAGTTCTGCTCTCCTGAAACTACAAATGTTCTTAAGAATTTAAACTCAGCTCCTACAGTTTTATATATAATTGTATACAGTTAAAGGTTTTCAATTTCTTTGTTCTGGTTCAGTTTCATCGTCACTGCTATCATTTATAATAATTCGATATTCGATATCTTGTTGTTTCGGTCTCTGCAAGGGATGCGCCAGTAACTTGGCTGTACTTTCATACAACCTCGTAGCAACATATGTACTCACTTCCAATACAAAACATTCTTCTGTCTCGTCCAGTTTACACAACGCATCATAGATTTCCTAGAAAGTCACACATTAATTCAAACTTTACTTTGATTCGTGATAGATTGCCTGGGAGACGGCAAACTAATTTCAAAGACAGAGAGAGAGGTCTGGTATACGGGAATAAGGCGTCTTTCGTGTTGGTAAAATCTTTAATACCCCCTGTAAATATGATCATTAAAAACTTTACGTCAGTGGAATACATTTCACACTCAATTAAGCCCTTTCTTAAATTCTTCTCACTTCAGAAAAATTTTCATTAAACCCCGTCTCTCTATTGAGCCCTTTCACAACCAAGAAACACACATTGGTATTGATGTGTAGTTTTTCAGTCTATATTAATTACCTACGCCAGGAAGTTATATTTTCACCTGGGTTTGTATACGTGTGTGTGTGTTTGCATGTGTAAAAATATCCAAGAACAAAACGCCTCAATTTGGACGAAAATTAGATGAAAATCTTTCTTTTCCCTGGCAGTAAACTGAATGCGTAATTAGCCAGTTGTATAACTTGTGCATAACACGTGTAATTTACTGGCGGAGGTGTGCAGTCTCTGAGCACCCTCTAGTTCACTACTTTATCTTTTACTGCATTTCAACTAAAACATTAAACCCTTTTCCTATTAAGCTTGCCCTCTCCCAATAATGATGATCATGATGATGAGCAGAACAGGAGAGCTGAGCTACAAAGAACGTCTGTTGGCGTTGGACCTTCTGCCGTTAACCTTCGACAAGGGAGGTTAAGGACTTGGTGTTTCTGTACAAGGTTTTGTTTGGTTATGTGATGTCAGTAACTATATGTCTCGTTTGTCAGTCACGGTCGAACTCGGCTGAGTAACTCCCCAAATACATTCTACAAAGTCAAATTTGTAGAACAAGCACTTTTCAATATTCGTACTATAATCGTCAAACTGTGGAACAATGTATGTAAAGATGTATGTTTGTGCACTGTGTCTAGTCCTAGTTCTTTTAAATGTTTTGTTAAACGTAAATACTCTAGTATTTTTTATTCTATTTAAGATGTTGACTTGTCATGTACGTGGTCCTTATTTCGTGACTGTTCGTGTCATAGGACGTAAACTGTAGTGCACTAGGTGTGTGTAGACTGTAGAGTTGTGTGTGTAATGTTATATAAAATAGTTTTAGTAAAGTTTGGGAAGGTATCTTGCATGGTTCTTCGAGTCCCGTTTATACCTTGCCCATCTATATTCTATTAATAGTTTGATTGAATATTTTATATGTTTTCTTTGTAAAATATGTTTAAAGGCACAGTTCAGCCTTTTGAGTGATGGTTTTTAAGGCGCATTAAAGCCCTTTTAATTGAAAAAACTAACTAGGAAAATCAATTATGCATTATTCAAGATCAGTAAACTCAATGTTTTTAACAATAAAAATGTTTTAAAATGTTAAAAACATTAAGTTTATTGATTTTCCTAGTTAGTTTTTTCAATTAAAAGGGCTGAAACGCCCCTTAAAAACCATCATTCAAAAGGCTGAACTGTGCGTTTAATTGACCCTAATAAAGATGATAATAATAATAATAATAATAATAATAATAATAATAATAATAATAATAATAATAATAATAATAATAATAATAATAATAATAATAATAATAATAATAATAACCATCCCCTCTCAAGCATGGCTGAAATACATAAGCCCCTCGAGGGATTACTAAAACCAATCATTCTGATTACCTGACATTTGTTGTCTTCACTAGGCACTTCATGAATATAGAGAACATCAAAAAAGAAGAGCCGACATGACACGTACTGGTCGAAAATCTAAAGAATATAATAAGCAAATTTATATAAAGAATATAATAAGCGTAATTTATTACGCCAAAGGTAAAATGATGTCGACTAAAGACACGACTTTTTCATTTAAAATTCAATTACATATGTCGACACTATTTCTGGGACACTATAAAACCATATCTCCTGAAGCTCAAATAAATATACAATTTCATTATCTATGAATATTAAAATGTTTATTTTCTGAGTTACCGTTGTTTTATATTTTATTAAAATACTCAGTGGTTCCCGTAATTTCATTATCTGCTATGTATGTATGACATATGACATACGTAATATTAAAGAGTTCAGTGTCCTAACATGACATCACATGAAACTGGAAAATATATTTGAAAACGTCTCCTGTTGTGATTTTATACCAAGGGTTCATAATTACCAACATTTTCACAACAGTTCGTTGCGGCGAAAGTGGTTAATGACCAATATATGTTTCTTAAAATGTCGGAGGGGTGGAGGCGGTTGAAGAAAAGAGTTCTCTCTTTTCGCTTGTGAAAATGTTGATAATTATGGATAACCTTGAAGTGGTTCGTGGGTATTACATTCATTTTAATAATTGCACCCTCCCTGAGGGCCTTTACAGAGGGGGTAATGGTAGAAAATGGGGGTAAATTTGATGTTTCCAGGTGTGAAAATCTAGGAGGTTTAAAGTATCCATAGGGGTGATTATACAACACAGATTATTTCATTCGTGAGAAGCAAAGGTCCTCAACACGGGGTTTAAAGAAATATGGAATAGCATTCAAACCCGTTTTGCTTCAGAAGAAAGACTTGGTATTTCACTGTGAGATCTTCCATAAATCAAGATCACCCTGACAACATATTCAGGTGGAATATCTACAATGTTCGACGATTTAGGTAATTCAACGTGGTTCTCTCTAAAAAATAAACTTTTTTAAATATACAAAACATGTTGAAAAAATTACAACTGCAAACTCCTGGCATATTCACGTGACATTAAACCCAACGTGTTAGTCTTGACGATGGCAAATTAATCGTTTACAACACAGGATCATTATTCCTGGTACTCTGTTCTCGTTTTCCCATTGGCTAAACGCCTCTAGATATTTGTAGCGCTATTTTTTCTGCGGAAACAGATATCTGTAGGGGTTACTTGACGGAGCCCGTGATATTCCAGCGGCATTTTGCTTTAAATTACAAATATGCGGATATTTATTTATTTGAGCTATTTTTGTTTTCAATTATTCAGAAAGTAAGTAGGTAGTGCTCGTTTTGCATCCTTAAAAAATTACGAAAATTGTCGAAAACAAAGATCGGAAAGACTCGACCTCGACTTTGGAGGGAATTTTGACCTTAGACCTGGGGCATTTGCTGGGCATGCAGTCGTTTTCACCCTTCTTTCACCCCGCCATTAAATTGCCTAGGTTCCAGTCTTCTCACGTGAAAAAGCGCAGAAATATAAATAGAAGGCTCTAAGTCTAGGCGTGTATAAAACATCCTCGTGTCTGAATAAATCCAACAATTAACGCGCCTGATTTTGGGGAGTTTATTTGTGTAGGGGCATGGTCATACATATAGGTAAATATGAAAGACTGCAGAGAACAAGCAAGTGTTTGTTATACTTACATGGTTTCTAATAATGACATCATATCTATAAATACATTGTTAAAGAAAGTACAGTATTTGGTAGATGATATACATGGAACATCTTGATATTGAATTCAGTAGTTTTCATATATTATTCATTTCGAGATAAAATGTGCAGTCAACTTTGTTTCAAATCAACATATATGGTCCGACTCTCTTGTCTTCTTTCGATACAATATTAGAAATACGAACTGTTTATGACACCGTTAGGTATATTGAGTTCTCTTCAAAAACACTGCTGTCGATTCTTTTTCTTTTCACATACAGGCTGTGTGATATACAGTATGCTTTCATACTCTAGCAAACCTGTAAGATCTTATTAAGCTGTGTTTACACCGCTGCAAATCTAGGCCTTGCTCTGCCCTAATTGGGCTTGCACTGATTGGCTGATTAAACTAGACCAGTGTGGATTATAACAATTTGACTTGGGTCTGACAAATATCCACTCAAGTGTGCAGTTGCTCGGACATTGGATAACAATGGTTGTCCAACGTTTCAATATTTACATTGAAAAGATTGCCGACCGTTATAATCCGCACTGAACTAGTCAGTCTGGATATTGATTGATTATAAATTAGGGTTAGCGGGTAAGTATTATGATCGGCATTCAGAAACAGCGAGACGTGAATCTCTAACCGTTAATCAGTAAAGCAAAAACCTGATCATAATACTTGTAGTGGAAACATGGCGTTAAAAATCGATTACTTACTTCCTGCATGTAGGGTAAAAAAGGATACCAAATTGTGGAAGAGGATCTGTTGGACTTGTACGGATGTTATCTAGGGTGTCGTTGATTAAATTCACGTCACTGCTGAAATCTTGAACCTAAAAACAAATAGTTCTGTGACTCGTAAATCGGTTATCCACGCAGCAAATTCGTTCAAGCGAAAGCAAATCGAAAAACAAAAGAAGGAAGCGAAAAAGTTGGACTTGTTCCTGCTATTTTGCGGCTCTCTTTTCTTAATTGTCGAAGGGATTTGTAGATGGAAATTGCGAGTGAGAATTTTATACATTTATTAGACTTAATTTATTATACATTTATTAGAGCAGTTGCGAGAACTCAGGCAGGAATCGAACCTGCGGCCCTACGATTTCGATGCAGCACCAGGGATGCCGGAACCACGGGTGCAGCGGGTGCAATTGCACCCCTTGCCCCCAGCAACTTCCGGCATCCCTGTGCAGCACTCTGAGCCACAGAGTCCAGTTGTCGAGCTCTAACCACAAGTTCATGTAAAATACTGCGGTGATGCCATGTAAGGTTTGGGTAAATATCAGGATCTTGGGCGTCTCACTAATTGAGAACTGATCGTTGAAGGGATCAACCGGACCGTTATCTCAAATCTGACACCGTCTGTGACGTCTGTCTTGTTATGTGTTGCATACTATAAATCGATAACCCTCTGTGTTGTAATTTAACCCTCAAGGCCAGCAGACGGACTGGCAGTAAAACTTTATATCTTCCATACAAATTACTGATTGTTTGCACAGAAACATCGAATACAACGAAAACATTATTGGGAACTATGCCAAGTTAATGTACACAGCATGTTAATAAAAGTAAAAAGTACAATACAAATAAATAAATTAAATACGTACTGTATTAAGCATTAAGTTGCGAGAGTAAGAGCTGCCATAAAAAGCTAAACTGACTAGCTTCAATTTCTTAAGTCATCTGCTGGTCTTAGACGAAGAAGGTGTGACTTACCCACAAAGCTTCCTTTTCAAAGGTAAGTATTGCGATTTGATGTTTCTTATTGAATCTAAGCTTGTGTTTTACAAAGATCTCCGTTGATTTCTTCAACTGTTCAAACACACTTCTAGAAATAAAAAACTTTAAGTGTACAACATTGAAACTCAGTTGATAAAAGTCGAGGTTGTGGTACCAAGATTAACAACTATTTCCTTATTTCGCGTCTGTGGTGAGCTCCATGTCACAAATACGTGGAGCATAGCATACGCCAACTCATTGTGGGAAAGTTGCCAGGCGGATATATGAGTTGCAAATCGGCAAATCCTACCATCCCATCCTTGAAAGATGCATCAAATATTGCTGAATATAGCTCGGTGCAAATTCGCAATCGCCTACATGCCCTTTCACCTGAATTCAAGTAACTGCAGACCTCCCATTCGTACATCTAACCATCCACACGGGTAAGTGATTCAATTGATTTGTGAGCTCACAAGAATGGTTTAGTTAAATATCATGGTTAAATATGTAAACATGTCCAGGTTGTTATACAGCTTTATTTTCAAATATACTGTACTTTAACAAGCTGTGCTACAGCAACTGTCCAGTCACGCATACTGTACGTGATAAAAACCCAATATATAAAAAACATTTTATAAACAAAAGATAATGTAAAACGTAACACAACGGCGAACATGCAGATTCGGCCATCTCGAATAATGGTAATGTTGACCATTGTTGGGATAGTAGCGTTGCAGACTGCAGAGGAGAGTGGGCAGTAATGCTCCCTCGTGCACCACCGCAGCCATGCATGGAGGCTAGATCCGCCCCAGTTTACTGTAGTTGAATGTTAAATTAACATTAGTTTAATGCAGAGCTATACCCCCTGAGAGTACCGACGCTCTGTGGCTCCTTAATTGCTGCAGTCAGGACTCAAGCTTATTCAGTAATTTTTTATTTAATATATGCCCAACATTACTGATCCTAGCTAAGTGCCTAAGATATCTGTACCTCTCTTTTTGATTCTGTCGTAATATGATTTCATTCAACTCTGAAGATAGATCAAAACACAAAACCTACAAAGCAAGAAATAAATAAACCACAAATTAACCATGGGCGAACACAACTCAAAATTTGGCAAGTTTGGCGTGTTGTGATCTTAATTATTCTTAAATTATTTTAATATCTAATTCTACAGGATTATACGGAACGGTTCCTCGCGAAAAAAATATTTAAAAAACCTTCCGTATGATTTTACGGATATAGATTAATTAAAAATTAAAAGAATTTATAAAGCTAATCAACATCGGCAACTGAGAATTTTCCCAGTTCAAAAAAAATGTTGACTAAATCCCAGTCACCCAGTCCACTAATTTCCCACTCATGCATATTTGTTTCCCAAATTGCACTCAAAACCCAATGTCAAAACCATAGTATTACATATACCAAAACATTACACTAAAACATCACACTTAGACTACTGTATACCATATGTACTTGACTGGATAAATGGTAAACTGCTAAAATATATATCAGACACCTTAGGATTGACGTATACAGGCAAACCGCTAACCGCAAACGGCCAACTTCAAATCGTATTTGAGGGTAAGTTCTACACGTTTTCGACAGCTAAGTAGCTAATTCATGATTCAATATTAATGCACAAATTGCTGCCGTAAATGTCAATCTTAGATAAGCTCTCTATAAAAATTGTTTAAAAACCTACAATTTTTTCAGGACAGTTGATCTTCGGAGTCTGTTGTTCATCTTCTTCAGTCTCCACTCCATTTTCTTGTTGTTTTTCTTGTCCTTCTGGTGACTCGCGTTTTTCTTCCCCAGGCAAAATGGTGGTTTCCTGGGGACGATTGCTATCAGGCAATGGATCATCGGGTGGTGGGGCTGAAGGCGCATTTGCAGGTTGTTGAGCGGGTGTAATACTAGCAGATTGTTGGGGAGGTTGTTGAAAAGGATTGACACTTGCAGATTGTTGTGGTAATATTTCAGGTTGTTGAGCTGCTGCTCCAGTCACAGGTTGTTGAATCGATGATGGATTTGCTTGTTGTTGATTCATCGTTTGGTTTACTTAATCTTCACCTCCGTACATTTATTTTAAACTGCAACAAAAATATGTTCGAAAGCGTTATGGAGATAATACAGACAGCTATGAGTTTCATCCCCAGCCTGTTTCTATATTAGGACTTCAGATTATCCAGACCTGGAAATAATTCTAGCCTTTCTTGGATCCTAGGCCAGAGGGAAATATTTTCTTTGAAAATACTGTTATCAAATTTAGGCCGGGGGCATTTTCTTTGAAAACACTGTCATAAAATTTAGTTGGTTTAACAGCACTTAAATTTTGACCCTTACGGCTGTTAGGAATTCACTGTTAACAAAATCTATTCAATTAATCAATAAAGTGAATACTGGATAATATTAATTAATTCTATGTTACTAATGTTAGCAACTTAGGTAGACCTTAGCATATCAATTTAAATTGTATAATAAATGCTTATATATATAGTGTCATAGCTTATTACAGTTGTAGTTATAACTTATAAGCGTTTATTAGTACCTAATTTGACATTTGCAAGTTGTGTGATAAAGAAATTTAAATTTCAAGGAATATTTTTATGTATATGCTAAAGTGAAAAAACTTTTTTTGACCAATTTGTGCGTCAGGTGATATTACTTATATCAGCGGTTTCAGTGGGAAATTTTTAACCTTTTTGTTGATTTTTATGGATAAATTTTTTTAAAGAAATTTCAAAACTTTCTGCCAAAAAAAATTGAAAATCCTTTCTAGCAATCAAAAAATTTTCTAGGAACGTCGTTCCCAGGATCCACCACTATTTCCAGGTCTGCTAATGTCGGACACGATTTAATGCCAATATTTGAAAGAACAAAATTCCCAGGAAAATCAACACCTCCCCAATACTTGAATGTTGCTGATGGCAGACAAAAACAAACTTCGGCGTTTCGAGTGAAAGCATAGCCTGCCTAGCAGGCGGTTCGCGCGCACGAGAGAACGGGAAGCTAGAAACTCAGAGCTACACTACTTAGTGGGGCGGATAAGTGAAATCATTATATGGCTTTTCAAAATTCTCTATTCTGATTGGTTGACAAGCGGTCCGTAAAAACCCATATCCAGACCGTGATCCGTATTTTCCTTCCGTATCTGTCCCGGTGTCCCGGATGTCGTTTATCTGCCGGGAAATTTTTGCTTTGCAAACACAAAAAAATTTTGCTTTTTAATTTTCCAATTGTGTGTCATTAAAATTTACAGATAAAAATTTCAAACAACCAAATTGTTTTTGATTGAGTGTGCATGCCTACCGTATATTGTTACCCAGTGAAACTGACAATAGCCGATTTAATTCGCGCGAAAAGCATATGCTCACAGACTCAGTTCAGCCATATAATAAACCGATTATTGACCTCGCTTGTTCGGTCTGTACTGTGAAACATCAGACCTCTGTTTTTCGCTCGGTCTATACTAAAAAAACTCGGTCTGATATTTCACAGTACAGATCTCACGCTCGGTCAATAAGCCGTTATTATTATACATTGTAGTTGGTAAAAGCAATTTGATTGGCTAAGAGCTTACAGTTAAATCGCGCAACCTACAGAAAATTCAGTTATCTGATAACGCTTACCTCGACCTTGATAATTCCACATATCACAAAAACCTCATCCAATAATTATTAATAAGTATTGTGCATTTTGTGAAGAAAGCACCATATTGACAGGATGTGTAGACTTTGACACAAGTATGAATATCGGATATTGAGGCATCTCTGAAATTAACGCTAATAGTCAAGATTTTGGAATTTCCGACATTTTAGTATAAATTTCTGTTACTGATAGAAATGATAAAATTCCAAGGTAACTAACAGAAAAAATAAGTTGTATGGTTGAAACGTACACAAAAAACTGTCTATGGAACATTAAAGCATTTTTTGATTTTCCAAATATTTTCTGAGCTGCAACTTGTTAAAAAAGGCAATTTGAAGGTAGTGCCAGTCCTTGCACCCATTTTTTTATCTATTGGCAAATAAAAACTGCTTTAATGTTCTATATACACAGTTTTTTGTGTACTTTTCAACCATACAACTTATTTTTTCTGTGAGCTAGCTTGTAATTTTAAAATTTCTATCAGTAATAGAAATTTATATTCAAATATAACAAATTCAAAACTTTTAGCTATCAGCATTAATTTCAATGATTCCTCCATATCTGATATTCATACTTGTGTCAAAGTCTACACATACTGTCAATATGGTGCTTTAGTTACTAACTGCAAAATTATTGCAAAATTGTGAGCTTATCCGCCCCACTAATTAGACTTCCAGACAAAAGGCCTTCCCTCGAGTTTGTTCTTATTTTTATGTTGTTTCATCATACACACAAGCCCATAGTTATTTACGTCATTTTCCTGGCCTGTGCTTAAAGGGAAATGGCTGAATAAAAATTTAGTTAGTCCTATTTGAAGGAACTTTTAAAATGATATAAGAAGACCCCTTAAACCTTTTGATAGCGTGTTTGGTTTTCAACTACCCTGGTTCCAGAGGTTCTTGTGCCACCGTATTATAAATTATGTAATTTGTAGAATAAGGAACTCGAATCTCACTTCCATACGAGCAAGAATAGGGAAAAAGATACGAGAACCTCTGGTAACCAGGGTCGTTTTCAACATATTCAACCAAAAACAGCGCGTATGCAGTCAGTTCTTCATTCTTTGTTCAATATCCATTTTAAGTTTGTCATTATTGCCAATCACATATCTTTATATCAGTCAGACTATTTATTTAGGTGTAACATCAATCACCCTTAATGGGCAAAAACACATTTGTCATAGCGATTTGGGCAAATAGTGCACAATTGAAACTGCCGATTCACCTGTGCAGTGCATTAGTGCTGTGCAAACTCCGGTTTTTCATCTCTGGCTCCGGCCAAATTATAGCTCTGAGCTCCGGCTCTGGCCACATCATAAAATATTAATTAAATAAATGTTTTACAATCAGAGAACATTTATTAATATTATTATGAATAACCCTTTTCGCGCTTCCTAATTATCAGATAACATAACTCAGGAAACAAAACAGTGAAAACACTTAACCACACAGAAAATATCTATATGGAAACCAGCCTCGAAAATTTTTTGACAGTGTTGCAATTTTTATATAGCATGACGTGAGGCATGACGCTAACACTCTCAGACTCCACAGCACAATTGTTCGCATGCAAACAAAGTACTCTGTCATTTTCAAAAGGTTGATATTTATTTGTTTCGTACTTTTCGTTATCTACAAGGCATGAATACACAGACTATGTAGCGCTAAGTCAGATGGCTTCACGAAAGCATGACGTTTGTAAGTTGTGATCGTATTACAGCTTTTCGACGCTGTTCATATGTGGGCTGTGGCAGTTTGAGTCTATGATGAATTCATTAACAGCAATTGGCAGTTTGCAGTAACTACTGTAACAATCATTTGACATTTGTCTCATTTCAATTGTTTTCTTGTCATTTTGCCGGAGTTGGAAAAATGTAACTCCGGCATACAAAATTCTGTTCTAACTCCAGCATCGGAAAAACCGCCGGAGCTCCGGCAGAACTCCGGCTCCGGCAACTCCAGCGCACAGCACTACAGTGCATAGAAATCAGAAATGCTAAACAGTTCTGTCTTCATCACTTCATGGACCATATTAATTTATAACTAATTAACAAGAATTCTTCAAGGTATGTACCCTGTTTACAACAGGAATTCTTCAGGAATATAGTAAAACCCTTGTCCTCAATTCAGTGGCGCCATGGCTGGGGGGGAGAAAAGCCCCCCCCCCCCTATTGTTGAGACCTGTCGGAAAATTGGAAATTGTGTCCCCCCCCCCCCTATTGTTGAGACCCGTCGGAAAATTGGAAATTTGTTATGTTGTCGGAATTTTCGCGTGCTCAAGCATGCCTGCATATATGAGCGGGAATTTTACTTCTCTTCGTTGTTTGACAATGCAAAACATGTTTGAATAAAAAATATATAGATGAAATATCGGAAATCGGACTCAGTTTTTTATGTTTTCCCAATATAAGTTTATAGAAAAGTCAATATTTAATTCAACATGATTTCATATATATTATTGGAGCGGGTGAATAGCTTTTTGGATTGTCGGATTTCACCGAAAAAATTGTTCGCATTTTGAATCTGGCCGGTGAATATTTTACACAGATTTGCGGATCTTATAGACTATAGTACAGCAGATTGTCTAATATTTTTGCTCAAAAAAAATTGTGGATTTAGCTTGCAATTTAATTCGGATCCTGGATTGTGACTTCGTATAGTAGAGCTTTTAGTGGATCCAAATTTAGACCAGACCATTGTCGGATCCGCAGATTTTACTTCAAATTTAGGTGGATCAGTGAATTTGTGTATCCCTATTCACCCCCCCCCATTATTTTTGTCGAGGAAAAATTGTGCTTGTCGGGAAAATGTTGCCTTGCCCCCTAAAACATGGGATTGGAGTTTATGTCTTTCAAATGGAACAACCATATTTTAATATTGCTGAGAGCTTCAGTAGGTATTCAGAATTGAACATCTCTATTCGGAGGGCTAGAACCAGTATATCACAGTGCATGTAAATAAACAGCTTACCTGATATTAAGAGTATTCATTACATTGTTAACACTTGTAGTTGTTCTTATTTTCTTACCATATAAAGAATGAAACCATGTCTACAAATTATGAAACATTTACACCACACGCAACATCACATACTCTAACATTAAGTATCATACCGCTTTGACACTGCTCTCCAGGATTGCGTGCTCTTTTCAGACGCACTGATCTTTAAATAACTGGATACTAGCGAAAATTAACCTGAAATTCAGGCCCTATCTAGCCTGCATGGCAGGCGGTATTTCTACGGGCAGCGAAAATTAGGGAAGCAAAGGAAATTTCCTACGTACCGCCTGCCATGCAGGCTAGGCCCTATCGAAAACCCACGATCCCCGCCGTTTTTCCTGATAAAAAGTAGGTAGTTTGGTAGTGTGTAGCTCCTACCTTGCAGTTTCGGTGACTGCTTCAACAGAAATTATTATAATACTTTTTTGTGGAAACACCACGTAAACGTTTACGCAAACCTACAAAGAACTTAGAATTTATTATATTCCCTTCTCTACAACATTTAAACAGGAAGCCTAATCAGACAATCAGTGATCTTCACTGTTATCAACTAGGGTCCTGTATCTACAATAATTACAAAATAATTAAGACTAAAATAGATAAGAATATGTACTAAAGGTTAAAAGCCAGTGGCGAAGCCAGCCCGACAATTTGGTCATGCTATGCAAATTTCATATCATTATCATTATTCATTTCTTTAGAAATTGATTGTTTTCACGGTTTATGAACACGGAAATATTTGCATAGCATGACCAAATTGTCGGGCTGGCTTCGCCACTGTAATAAAAGCTATTTCAAATAAGAAACTCTAACTAAGCATCTAAAAAATCTGTAACTTAACTTTTAAATAATTTAAAATGTTTCGGCTTTTCGAATGTCAGTAGGCAGATTATTGAATGTTTTTGCACCAGTAAAATAGAAAGACTAGAAACTCTTTTGTGCAAAAACATTCAATGATCTGCCTACTGACATTCGAAAAGCCGAAACATTAAATGATTTTAAAGTTAGGGAGCGGTCATTAATTATTGGGGGGGGGGGGGGGCCGGTAAATTTAGGGGGGGGGCTACCATTTTTTGGACCCCCTTTTGGGGAGGGCCAAATATTTTTGTGCCCATCTAGAAGGGAGGGCCACAAATATTTGGGCAACTATTTCAGTAAAAAAAGTTATATTTCAATGACCAATTCAATGGGCCCGTACACGGATAATGAATGAAGGCTTCCATGCAGAGATAATTAAAACGAAATTTATTTCACCAACACCAGAACAATTTCTTTCACCAACGATAATAAATCATATTTTATACATGTAATGTCAAGTATAACAAGTAACAACTAGTTGATACTCGTATATTTCCTCACTTGCCGAGCCTGTAAAGTTCATTGCTAATTTCAGCAATATGGTGTACATTGTTTCATGTCAATAATATGTGGTACAATAAAATCTAACAAACGGAAATCTTACAAATATATGGTCTGTAGTATAAAAACATATACGTGATCAGTCTGAGTCGCATATTGGTTGACAGTAAGGTATACATCCAGAGGTTTCCCAATATGGACCAACATGAAATATGAATGACGATGACGACGTGGAAGAGTTCAGCAAAAAGTATGTGGTGGAAAAAAGGCTGGTTACACAGTACCTGGAACATCTTCGCGAACTAGAAAGAAGGAAAAAAAAGAGGGAAGATAGCAGAAAGCGCGCAAATCTGGAAGAAAAGAGAAAGACCTTTGAAGATTACAACTGGAAAGCTATTTACAGGGAAGGAAAAATAAAGAAACTGAAAGTTGTTGTATTGGACATGTATATATCAATGAGAAATTTGAAGCAGTCGAAAGGGGCGTTAAAGCAAGAAAAAGTCGATATCGTATCACTTGACATAGCAAAGTCGCTAGTCCCTGATAACCGTCAACTTTCTGATGATGACAGAGATAGTAACGACCAGGATTCTGGTGACGACGATGTTGTCGTGCAGGAGATTGGAAGTGACGAGGATGATATTGATTCCGACGACGATGAAGGACAAATTTATGAAGGTGATGCGGGAGAAGAGGAGGAGGAGGAAGAAAACATTTCCAACCTTTTGCAGACCATAAGATCTGGTAGAGTTTGCCGGACATGGAAGGGACGAGCCAGTGCTATAGACTAATTTACATAAAGATTTCAAATGATGTACTATTTAATGCATGTATAGGAGTGTTTTATACTATATAGCCATATTTATTCACGAAATTATGTCGCTGTTTGATGCTTGACCGATTGGAAGGAAGCTATCTAAGGAAGGGGAGGGTCACAATTTTCTGGGCTATTATTTTGTGGGGGGCTAAAATTTTTGGGCGCTAATTTGAAAGGGGGTCAACATTTTTGGGCCCTCGTTTTAGATATTTTACCGGCCCTCCCCCCCTAATAATTAATGACCGCTCCCTTAATAAAAAGATTAAATGATTTTAAAGTTTTAAGGTGGGGTGAATAGGGATACACAAATTCACTGTCCGCCTAAATTTGAAGTAAAATCCGCGGATCCGACAGTGGTCTTGTCTAAATTTGGATCCACTAAAAGCTCTACTATGTGAATCAAAGCGCGTTATTAATAAATGTTTATTTTCCTGTTTATGACCGACTTGTTTAAGTCCGACTTGTTTATTACTTACGTTTTTCATACGTACGTATACGCACGTAAAACTTTAACTCCGTTTAGATGTCACTTATGAAATAACCAAATAAATAAAGCAACAGAATTTAGTGTTCCGCAAGTTTTAGTATGCATTTGTTATCTTATTTGTAAAATATTTAAAAAATTGAAGGATTCAAATCGTCCATGTATTAGCCCCCCCCGGATATAAGCCCCCCCCCCCCTTGTATAAGTATATAAGCCCAGGGCACAGCCCAGGGCTTATAGTCGGAGGTTTACGGTAATCTAAATTATGCATCAAAACAAATTTGCAGAGCTTCTGAGCAATATTCCCTCGGAGAAAAGTTGATGTTAGTAATCCTTATACAGTTTCTCGCAAACTATAAAACGCGTTCGTATGTGATAGTCCTGGACCGCAAAGTCTGCATTTTCGATCGGTTGTATAAAAAAGTGATTAAAGTTAACTATGATTAAGTGCAAACGTCATCCAATAAGAAGCGCGTATTTGAGAGTTAATCACTATTTAACCACAAAATAGTGATTAAAAAAGTGATTAAGAGTTTTATACAACCGGCCCCTGTTCACTAACGTACATACAAACTTTGCGTTGAGGGAGAACATCTTCGGGTATTAACGATCATGGAACGAAATCTAAAACTCAGACCAGTACGACACCGTGCGTGAGAAGTCTCTTGGGGTTATTCTACAAGCGCGCTAATAATTAGGAAGATTCATTACAAACTTCGAGGCTCATGAGTTCTCTGGATGCATTCTGTTTAATGGACAGGGGGGGACCATATACCTAACTTAAATAAAGAACAGGGCCAACATGCAAATGAAAAAAGAGTACGCGCAGTGGCGGCGCCAGGCTTCCAAATTTGGGGGGGCATTTGAGGGGCAAACTCAAATTTGGGGGGGGCAAAATAGAATTTTTAAAAAGATCGCCCCCCCCCCTAAAGAACAGGGCCAACATGCAAATGAAAAAAGAGTACGCGCAGTGGCGGCGCCAGGCTTCCAAATTTGGGGGGGCATTTGAGGGGCAAACTCAAATTTGGGGGGGGCAAAATAGAATTTTTAAAAAGATCGCCCCCCCCCCAGGAAATTCGCCCCACCCCCCTCAAAACGTGGCGATATTCCTAGGAATATCGCCCCCGGGGGCGAATATCCTGGGAATATCGCCTCCCAGGGGGGTGGGGCAAATACCCTAGGAATATCGCCCCTCTTTAGGACATTCGCCCCCCATATATGCGATGTGGTTTATTCAAATAATTTCGTGATACTTTCATCTTATTATTGCCTTACACGTTTGAGAATTTAACTCTGCAAAACTAAAGCTTTTTTGTCTTTTTTTGAAACGTATTATTGGAGTATTGGCAAGTTATACCATTCGGAGATTTACAAACTAATATTGAAACTGTAAAAACAGTTTCATGTATACGCGCATTCACTAATGAGTAATGACAACTTATAAGCCATACATTTTTCGATAACGACAGAACGCTTGTGCAGCCTTTAGTCGCTCTTAGTGACTAATAATTTTTTTTGAGGGGGGGCAAAATGGGGGGGCAAAAAATAATTTGGGGGGGGCATTTGCCCCCCCCTTGCCCCCCCCTGGCGCCGCCACTGAGTACGCGGCAAGTCCTGGTATTTGTTACCCAGGCCATTACTGACTGGTGTTCTGTGATATTATATATGGACATGTGATAGATCTTCCTAGTATAAACACGCAGACATTTACACTCAATGAGTTCGTTCAAGTTAAGACCGTTTGAAGCCAATTGTGTATAGGTTACTCAGAACACTTTGGGGGAATGCCGCGTTTGATCCTTTGGCGAGTGAGGCAGCACTTTCCTTACGATAGTAAGTTCCAGTTTAATACATTATATTTTATTCATAAAAGGGGAATTCTTTGAGTTTCACGTGTTCATATGCCCAGAAAACATAACCATTACATTGTAGAGGTTATGCGACTTAGCGCGAAGTTAATCGCCGTAATCGCCGTGACATGAACAACTACGTGATAATGACCAAGTACGTGATAATGACCAAGTACTTAACGCCAAAGCTAGTAGTTAACAAATGTCCTTGATAAAAATTATTTAAACATAATTAGGCTACAAAGGTCTCAATATGAAGCTAGTTTACAAACACAATTATAAGAGGAACTTTTTACAGTTACGAGTACCATAACTAACAAATGACAAAAATACGCACATTTAAATAGTAAAATCCATGCAAAAGTTTGAAAAAATGTCAACAACAACAACAAACAATTTATTTTCACTCATAAAAAATTATATACATAAAGTTATTCTTATTATTATCAGCTGAGAGTGAAGGCCACCTGTAATAACCATATGGGCTAATCGAGACAGGTGACCCCTATAATGAAAAGTAGTAATTTTATAGAGTTGGAAAAGTTAGATAAGGAAATGGGTTATCAATAAATATAAATAACAGGCACAGAACACACATACACACGATTTTTCTAAACCAATGTAAACGAATATGAATGAATAAAAGGCTCATGCAAAAAGCGAAAAGAAGTAACATGGGGGATCTCAAAAAAATATCAAACTTTGAATCAAACAATTTTGGTAGCTATTAATTAATTGAAGTTTCAATTTCTTTTTGAAATTAGGAAAAGAAAGATGTCTTAAAGATTCATCAATGCTGTTCCAAATCTTGATTCCAATGAATCTAATATTGAAAATTCCATAATTTGTACGGACTAGAGGAAGAGAGTATGTTGACCTCGAAGCTAACCGAGTATTGTGGCTATGTTGCTCACAAACTGGGTTAAAAAAATCATTAAAACTATTTGGAAGCTTTTTAAAATACACAATAGGGCCATTTATACGGGACAAAATAAGTCGCGACTTACATAAGACGCGTCTTATATAAGCGGAGTTATAGAATAAATGGTTCTCTACGGCTCCAGTCTTATTTACTTGCTCTTGCTATAATGTTGTTTCGGTTGTTTTTGTTTTAATATGCAAGGCTAATAATTTTACGTTGTTTCAAGTTTCGGGCATGTGTAGTTAGAATTTTTGTCCAAAATTTCTTATTTAAGACGCGACTTAAATAAGAACAGCTAAAAGTCCTGTTCTTATTTAAGTCGCGTCTTATCCAAGACGCGTCTTACATACGAATTTTGTGCCTTTTATACGACAAACTCGCGTCTTATTTAAGTCGCGTCTTATGTAAGTCGCGTCTTATTTTGTCCCGTATAAATGGCCCTAATGTCAAGAAATTTTAATAAGTTGAAACTCTTAAATTAAAAGTGGAGAGCTATGTTCATCAAATTTAGAAACGGTATAGCCTTTTTTTGTAACGTAACCAGTGAGGACAAATTTGATTTATATGTATTGCCCCAGATTGTCACCCCATAAATTAAAAATGGATAAATAATAGAATAGTACAGTTGGATTAGAGTCTTTTTTGCAACAAAATGCCGCAGTTTAGATAAAATACCAACACTGACAATACTCCTAGCAATTTTTTTTGAGAGTTCATGTACATGATCTTTCCATTTTAAATTACTATCAATAATAACTCCTAAGTACTTATTAATAATACTTTTTCTTTTCCTTAATTTCGACTCCGTTTATTAAAATCTTGAGCGCGTTAGGGCGTTTCTTTTGCGAAGGAGAAAATATAACATAGTTTGACTTATCTACATTGAGAGAAAGTTTATTGATAGAAAGCCATTCATTAACAAAATTCAGTTGATTATTTATTTTTGATTCAATATCTATTAAGCTTCTATCCTTTATCTAAATCCTTTATCTTTATCTAAACTCCTTTATCTCTCTGTCGTATGCTATAAGGTAAAAATATTTGGGAGCTGCAGTCGAAGATAACAGTTCCCGAATGAAGAGAACAGTGTAAATTTCAAATACAAAAACATGAGGATATAAGGGACCGGTCATAAAGTAACTGCTAGGGTGGGCTGGAGTGATTTGGGATGGGCCATGGAAAATCTTTGGGCAGTTGCGATGGGCAGCCAATTTTTTTGTACACAGTAATTTTAGAAGGGCCATTTTGGCCCCATAGGGCCATTTTGGCTTTTTAAAACCGGGGCCGTTTTGGCTCTAACAGGGGCCAAAACAGAACACCAGGGGCCAAAACAGAACACTAGAGCCGTTTTGGCCCCTTTTATAATAGCTGTTTTGGCCATGCAGAGGGCCAAATTGGAATGTGAATCTAAAATAAGAATTATATCACTTTGCATTAAGTACCGTTTTGGCTCTAACCGGGGCCAAAACGGATCACAAGGGCCATTTTGGCACCTCAAGGGCCGTTTTGGACCTTATTCTTAGTGCTGTTTTGGCCCCATATTTAGTGCTGTTTTGGCCCCCATATTTAGTGCTGTTTTGGCCCTCATATTTAGCGCTATTTTGGCCCCCATATTTAGTGCTGTTTTGGCCCCCATATTTAGTGCTATTTTGGCCCCCATATTTAGTGCTATTTTGGCCCTCATATTTAGTGCTGTTTTGGCCCTCATATTTAGTGCTATTTTGGCCCCGATATTTAGTGCTGTTTTGGCCCCATATTTAGTGCAGTTGTGGCCCCCATACTGTACTTAGTACTGTTTTGGCCAAGTACAGGGCCAAATTGGGATTTTATTCTAAATAACTAAAATTTAATTGTTATGTGGGCGTGGTGTAATCCCATCCTCACAACAACTACACCCCTGGCAACGAGGTAAAATTGGGATAAAATTATGATCTAGTAATAATGAATGATGTTAAAACAGCTTGTTGCAGGCAATAAAATGTACAGAAGGCCAATCTAGACCTAGAACCAATACTCGGCAGGCAGCACTTGATTTGCAGGTTAAGAGTTTTAATGACATCGCTGCAATATGAGGTCAAATTCTACCCTTTGTCCCGAAAACAATATTTTTGCCAGGCCACAAGACCCCTCCAAAAGGACTATTGTGGAAAAAATAGTAAGTGCAACCAACAAGGCAGGTAACATTTTTTTCACTTTAATTTGAACAAAAATCAAATTAAACATTAGTAGTGGCTAGCAATTAATTTAGAAATAGTTCCAGTTATTTAAATGAACATATACTATATATTATGAATTAATTAGAATTGTAAATGTGATATTTTGGTAAAACATGGAGATGGTTGTTTGTGCCAAATGGCTTCACAAAATGGAGTGGTAAAAAGTATTGCAAAAGTCTTTGCGGTATAATTTTAAATTCAGGATGGACCACTCTTCTTACAATGTATGTACGATAATCTGCACACACATAATGAAGCATAATCCAATAGCAACTAATAAAACAATCGGACTGAATTAATAGTTACTGTGCATATGTACAAATCACCAATTTTATATATTAAGTAATCTTCCTAATGTCTCAATCCTTTGCAGGATACACACGAGTCGTTGGACAAAGTAATTGAAACCCAGATCCAACCAGCTATTGTGATGGCCGGTGACCTGTACCAGGCTGACGTTATGTATGTCGTCGCTGAAGGAGCCATTCTGGTGGATATCAAGTCAAGAAAGATTGTGGATGCCTTGGTTGCCTTGTTAGCTACGTATTACATGTACAATGTAGAGCAAAAAGTGGGGAAAAATGTGTTTTGCTTTCTGGACATGGTATTGATGGGCATTGTCCCACCAAAATGCCCAGCATATGTTAAGACCCTTATTGGTGTTCTGTCCAATATGTAAATATTGTAATGTTAAACTGTAAATACACCTTTTTAAACTTGAATCGTGTTGTTATTGATACGTCAACGATAAAATGGTGCTGTTTGGATAACAGCCCTTTTTAAAAGAGCCAAAACAGCCCCTTTTGAAAGAGCCAAAACAGTCCCTTTTGAAAGAGCCAAAACAGCCCCTTTAGAAAGAGCCAAAATAGCCCCTTTAGAAAGAGGCAAAACAGCCCCTTTTGAAAGAGCCAAAATAGCCCCTTTTGAAAGAGCCAAAATAGCCCCTTTTGAAAGAGCCAAAATAGCCCCTTTTGAAAGAGCCAAAATAGCCCCTTTTGAAAGAGCCAAAATAGCCCCTTTTGAAAGAGCCAAAACAGCCCCTTTTGAAAGAGCCAAAACAGCCCCTTTTGAAAGAGCCAAAACAGCCCCCCGTAGAGCTAAATTGGCCCTTTTTTGAGAGCTGAAATTGCTATCATTCTAATTATAAGATTGAAAACAGCCCTTTGAAAGGGCCAAAATGGCCCCACATTATAGCCAAAATCGCTTTGAAAGAGCCAAAACAGCCCCACGTAGAGCTAAATTGGCCCTTTTTTGAGAGCTGAAATTGCTATCATTCTAATTATAAGATTGAAAACAGCCCTTTGAAAGGGCCAAAATGGCCCCACATTATAGCCAAAATCGCCCTTTAATAAGTAGCCAAAATTGCCCTATTTTAATGGGGCCAAAACGGCCCCATTAAAATGGGGCCGTCTCAGGGTCAAAATTTTGGCCCCATTTTAGGGGCCAAAATGGCCCTTTTGAAATTACTGTGTATGTCCACGGTTGGGCCACCAAACAAAAATCCATGCATGTCTACTTCAAAAAATAAAGATATTAATAATAAAAGTAAACAAAACTATCCAAATTATCAAATGCAAATGATGCTATTGAAGCCAGTACTTTGTTTATACAACAAGAAGAAGTGGTCGAATCACAGCAAACAGGGTTTATTTTAAGAAAAATTTAGAACTGCACATATAGGGATGTTACAAATGCAACGGGTGTTTGACTGGGGGAGGGGGGTCGAAGGAATTTTACCTGCATATAGGTGACAGAATAATGGTGTGGTTGGGTGGGAGAAAGGCCAGACAAACTCGATTTTGGGTGCGGGAGCTAGGGATGTTCCCTAAAACAATTTGAATCTAGAGGCTCTTAAGTTATGGCAAAGATTTGTTTTACCCAACCACTCACAAAAACTGTTTCAAAACATGTAACTGGGAATCATGGATATTCAATATATAACAACCTTAAATTTGCATTTGAGGCAGCAAAGAATATTAGGTTCTCCCACTCTAATCTCTTTTGGGGAGCTTCGCTCGCCCAAATGTTTCCTTCTTTTCCATTACCCCAGCGGGTCTGGAGTCCTCCCAAAGAAAACGTTTATATTTTTTATGCTCAATTAATGACAGCATTTCTGGAATTTTCTGGAGCATCCACAAGGGTAACGAGTAAATGAGATGAGACTGTTTTAAATAAGGCTATTTTTGTTAGTTTGGTGACTACACATTTGTGTTTTAAGAACTGCACGAATTGTTTTAGAACTGCACATTTTGTGTAGAACTGCACGTTAAAGTAAACCCTGACAGCAAATGCAACCAACTGGAGAGCTGCTCAGTATCAATGTGTTGACCAAGCTTGATGGAATTATGTATGTCAATACAGTGCCGTGTATATTTACAATGTTCATACCTTTTATTATAAAAGTGTATTTTCCCAATTTAGATTGGGTGGGTCATAAAAATTTTTTTGTAAAATTAGAAGGGCTTTGAAATTTTTATCTACATCCATTTTTATCTACATCCATTGGTTACCGAATTTATTGGCAAAATTTGTGATTTACCCCCAGCCCACCCTAGCAATTACTTTATGACCAGTCCCTAATATAGCAAATTAAAAAGAACAAAAGAAAACGTAGAAAAAAGATAGCATAGTTGACCCAAACAAGAAATCGTCTTCTTGTCTTGATATGGTTTATAATTCTTCGAGATGGTGATATTCTTCCACTGTTATAATCTTCCAAAATGTCGTCAGCAAACGTTCTTATGTTTCGAATCCAAGCAAACCAACTTGAATTATTACGAAAATGTCCCTTACTGGCAGCTATCATACTCTGGCTTAGTTTGTCATCAACTTCAATGCAGTATACAAGAGCTTTTTCAAGTTGTGTTCTTGCTTCACTTGTTTCTTCTTCTGATTGAAGTACCAGGTTAATAATTGAAGACAAGGCAAACAATGTACAGGGCCGCCCAGAGGTTGGCGGGGGCCCGGGGCAAATTTTTTTTAGGGGCCCCTATCTAAAAAAAGTTTCCCGGAAAATTTTTTTTCCGGATAACAATCTCCCCCCCCCCGTCGCCAAAAAATTTTCGGTCAGTGAGTGTACCATTTTAGGGATAAAAATTTTTTTCCGCAGTACTAAATTTTGCCGGACGAGTACGTTGCAAATGCTTTCGAGGGACTTTATCTCATGCCAAAATTCGGTACTTAGCCCATGAAAACAGATATCTTGTCCTTTGCGCAGAAATATTTAACACACAAAAAAGGCTGGGGCCCTACAAAAATTTTTCAGGGGCCCCCAGCAACTCGGGGCCCGGGGCAATTTGCCCCCTTTGCCCCCCCCCCCCCTCTGGGCGGCCCTGACAATGTACAGTATTCTGGGCACGAAGAGACGTCAGCTCCTAATACTTGTTCATAAATGTTCAGAGACTTATTCATAAAATGTACAGTCAATAAAAAACTATCAATCTGAAAAAAACACACAATTGTACGAATATACGATCGCCAAGTAATTTAAACTTCGTGCTCTATTTACACTAACACAATCTGCCGAACAACTATTTAAAAATTCCGTTGCTTCACCCACCACTTCAGCCAGTTTCCAAAATCTATCCCACGAAAGGTAAAAGCCAGCAAGGCAAACAAACCTGTTCATAATTTTGTCTTCTTCATTGACATAGACTTTCTTGGCTAATTCGATTGACGTCTTCATCATCTCTATGGCAAGGTCAATACTGTCCGCTTTGCAATACGTCCGCGCCAAGTTAAATGAAATACGACATCTTAACAACAACCATTCTTTCTCACTTTTACCCTCCGTCATGGAATAAGCTTTACATAAAAAATTCAAAGCATCTTCATCACGTTCTAGTTCTAGATAATAGAAGCCAAGGCTGGCCAATATATCGCAACGACTCTAGCTCGTCGCATAAGTCAAGTTCTAAAGAAATCTTATACAGCAATTCCAGACTCTTGATAGCGCTTTCATCGGGCATATTCGATGTTGACAAAAGAAACTGACCATCTTTCATGGAAATCAGGACAAATTCCGCGGTATCATTCCAGGACATATAATTGGCATGATAGATAGATAGAAGTCTTTATTTAAAGTCATACTGCGCAACAAAACGTGCGAGTTTACAACATTGACCGATTCTTATATAGTATATACATATGATACAATTTTAAATAAATTTAAAAAGACACCTGTTTATAAAACTACTCTTAAAACGCTCAGTGCGTATACGTGGTAAAATGTAATTATGTCCACGGTTTCGCAATTGCCTTGTTCTTTCTGGTGGAAGCAAGTCATATAGGCAATGGTTCGAATTATCCGTGATAGATTTCCATAATTTCATGTCTCTATCGTTAATTATGTCATTAATGGTTAGGGCTTTTGTCGTGTATCCATAGCGTACTGCTCGTTTAAAAAAATTATCTATTCGACTTAGATATTTACTTTGAAATGCTCCACCCCACACTTCAATAGCGTAGAAGAAAAGTGAAACTATAAGACTGTTGAATAGCATTTCTAGATCTTTCATTGGGAAACCATAAAATTTGCAGACTCTCAGAATGTACATACGTGAACCAGCTTTTTGAAGCAAGGAGTCTATGTGTGTGTCCCAGTTGCATGGATTTTCATTCAAAGTTACACCAAACAGTTTAAATTCATTCTTTCTTTCAATTCCTGATATCGGTAAAGGAAGGGATTTGTTGGTTTTCCCTCGTACTACCATTTCCCAGGTTTTTTCTAAGTTTAAGGACATGCTGTTTTCAAACGACCATTTCTGAATATTAGCAATCTCATCAGATGAAGGATCGAACCCATTTGCTTTAACCGGGACACTCAGAGTCAAGTCATCTGCGAACTTAGTCATCAAACTCTTCTCCTCATAAATAGTACCAATATCATCAGTAACCATTATACTGAATAGCACAGGACCAAGAACTGATCCTTGTGGAACACCTCTGTTAATATTTACATATTCTGTTGTTATCCCATCCACCGTAACTCTTTGTCTTCTATCTGAAAGAAAATCGATAATCCAATTGATGATGTAGGGATTTACTTTCAGTGCTTTAAGTTTCTCAGATAAAATGTAATGTGAGACATAATCAAAGGCCTTTTTAAAATCAAAGGTAAAGACCCGAACAAAATCAGCATCGCCATCCAGCCACTCTAACCAATTGTGGTAGCACTTAATTAATGCCATAGTGCAATTTTGACCCCGTTTGTAGGCAAATTGGTCAACAAATGACTTCAGGTGTGGCTTCACAAGGACTTTAAGAAGTACGTCTTCTTTATACGTATTGTCCATGAAATCTAGTGTCTCATTCAGAGATTTCATCATTTTGACAAATTCAAGTTCCCGCTGCTCAACAGGTTTTGTGTTTTCTACACTTTGAAAAGCACTGTGAATAACCTGATGATATTTTATTGTTTCAACGTTCTGTGACCGTCCGTGAACGAGTAGTGTGCATCTTGAAATCTCGTTTTTAATTTCTTCCTTTGTTGTAGGCTGTTTATCATTCTGGACTGATAGATTTTCCAAAACGTGGTGTGCTAGTACATTCAAAGGAACTGGAAGCAACTCACAATACGAAAGAAACGAAAATGTCAGTCGTAGAACATCACTAGTTTCTGCCATTCGCTTCACAGCCATCGTAGTAGCAGCCGTCATAGATAAAGGATATACGTTGTGATTGGAAAATGTTTGGGATTGAAGATGAGCATTTTCACGGTACAGGTCTAAATATTCTTTCCATCCAAACTGTATTGAAGGACGATCTTGTCTTGTTTCTCCAACATATGTTGCACACCACGCCAAAGCAAGAGGAAGAGACTGTAGCTCATCAATAATTTCTTCAGCAAAAGCATCAACTTCAACATCACTGATCTCCTTCAGCAATGCAACGGCATCTTCTTTAGTCATCCCCTCGTTCAAGGACAATTTCTTTGCAAACAAATGACCGGCTGGTACGAGATTATTATCTTGTGTTGTGACAAGGACATGGCCACCACCCCATTCCTTGCCACCAGGTCGTGGAAATAAATAATTGAAATGATTCTTTTCAAACATGTCATCAATGATAAGAAGCCAAGCACTACTGTAGCCACGGAAATAATCTCTCAGGTTTTTCATCAGTTCTTTAAGACTTTTTTTTGTTAGCTCCATACATACTGACAATTGTAATTTTCGCACAGCTTCTTTAGCAGACTTCATAAAAAATTCTTCTGAATTGGCATTCAATGTAATCACCAAATGTTTTGAGGTATCACTGGCAGATGTCGCATTTTTAAACTGGTCACCATATTGTCGAGCTAACTCTGTTTTCCCAGATCCAGGTTGACCTGTCAGATAAACAGTTCTAACAACATCTTCATCATCAGTCATGGTAGAGAACAATAATTCAATATTGTACAATTCCTTTTTTCTTGTGCGCGAAACATGAAATGGTTTGTCAGGATAAACATTCGCTATCTAGTGAAAAGTACAAAAATATCATGTTAATTTAGGTTTTGGTTATAGTTGTAGACATGTCTATACACTTACTACTGTAACACGAAACAAAACAAAAGTTGTAATAATTCACAGACAACATACAAGTTGGAACAAAAAATATAAGATGTTTTTGGAAAGGCCAATTCAATATTTACAATATTGTTTCACTTTTCAATTCTGAGGTTCAAATATATTAGGCATCAGTACACGTCATTTTTTTCCTTCAATAATACAATTTCCTTTAGTTTTAATTGTATAAAGCGCCCTAAAAAGAATCACTGCCAATATTATGGAGTCGAAAAGTGCAACTATATCACCGATTATATATAATATTGGATTCTTGTTCAACATCAAACGATAACAGACAGCTATGGTGAGACGGCACGGCGAGTTCATAACTCCTTCAAAATCCGTCAAGGGACATTGTTTGGACCGCTGGCTTTAAATGGTTTAATTGCCAGCAGTTTCATGCATACTTCATGCAGTTCGACTATTGGAGCGGGTTCATCAGCTGGAAAGAATACAGGTAGTGTTGTAATATCAAGTGCTGGGATGTAATTTATTAATTGATGTGTAAAGCTGTTCAACACGTTGGCCAATTCTGACTGTTCTAGTGTTTTACCATCACGTTCGAAAGTGAAGTATTGATTTTTCTCGGATTTCCTCGCCATGTTATTCACGATATTCCATTACCTACGACAGTCGTCCTTCCTCAAATGTTGTACTTTTGTTTCCTCCTGGAACTGATTTCTTGTTAGACCCTATATTTCATAAAGGTATATTTTGGCTATGGAATGCGTTTCATTCTGAATCCATGACTATCATTTTTATGATTTTATGACCACGTGGTCGGCTGAGAAGGAACTCGTTTTTGAGCTCGTCGCAGTTAAACATAATTCACCATATTTTATGCCTTGAAAAAGATTATTGGTATTATTAAGTATTATTAAGTCATACGTCTGAGTGTATACTTGAAATGCCTCCGAAAAATAAAAGTTTAAAGAAAACTAGCCATAAAGACGACGAAGAAGTCTCGGAAGCTTGTGCTATCGCTAAACCTAATATGGCGGACACAAAGTTCTTGCCCAATTAGCCTTTCTCACGATGACGAATATCCGCCATTTTTGGGTGGCATCCAATTCTCGTTAACCAATGCAGACAATTAAAACAATGTGAAAAGCAATTTTTCAAAATAAACCAACCATTTACAAAGCAAATTTACCATCATTCGTCCAAAAAATTATAAAAAGTCGCTGTTATGTGAACTTATCTCACAGACATCGGCTGAAAAGCCAAAAATGACGGCGTGAGAAAGGCTAATTCACTAGAATCCATCCTGGATCAACGTATGAATCAGCAAAGCAAACAATTACTGTGAAGGCCTGAAACAATACTCGAGAAGAGATCCACTTGAAGTGCATGGTATCCCGCAAAATCTAGATGAAAATACTGATAACTTGGTACAACATGATGTTTGTGATGTTACTCTGAGTGTATCTCCACACCGGGCAAGCTTGAAAAATATGCCCGGCCACGGTGGGAATCGAACCTACGACCTTTGGAATACTAGCCCAATTCTTTGCCAACTGAGCTACGCGGTCAGGACGGTTCGAGTAAGTGATATTTCGGAACAGAATTTAGTTCCTTCCATACCAATGTAATCTAGTAATATGATTTTTTTCTGTGCTGGTACCAGCACAATTAATGTTTGACAAATGTTAATATTCCAAGCAGAATCGTTGAAATTCAACAATACTTTGTAGCTATTTACCCCTATTTTCTCAACCTCTTTAGTGTGTGCTTATTTTAAGTACGAGTTCATGTATTTAGCTGTCATTTTAAAGAGTTTTTTTTCGTTTAAATGTTGAGATTTTGGCCGAGTTTGTTTTTCGCCTTTTCGAGCCTTTTTAACTCGAGTTTTTCGATTAAATTTTAATCTAAACTATTGTCTATGTATACTAGATTATGGAAATGGTTTGCTTCTTTATGTTCCAGATATTTTAAAGATTTCAACGACATTCGGATAATCGGATTCTTTTGCATGTGTGTGCATTTTTATTCGGCTTTTTAAGTAAACTTTATTTACTAATTTAGTAACAATTCGCGGGAAGCCATTTTGTGTTCGAAATTTTGGAATTTTTAAGCCTTGTTTCCTTCTTTTAAATAAGTTTTAATTAACCAAACTGTTTTAAAACTCACAAGTTGTATTTTTCAAGTCATTCTTGAGAGTTCGCAACACTGAGTTGTTGTCAACAAGGCCGAGGCGAAATGTCGCCAAAGGAAACCATTTAAACGCTCATTTCGTTAAAACCTTATTATTTTACATAAAAATCAAGTGAAAAATTCCGTTTTCTTTATGTGGCTTTTTTATACTAAAACAATTAGACAACTCAGCCTCGTTGTCTCTGAACGAATAGTCAACTCGGCTTCGCCTCGTTGACTATTCGCTCATATACAACTCGGCTTCGTTGTCTAATTGTTAAATAGTCATAATATGAATATTAAGACTATAGTCATGACTATTAAGACTATAGTAGTCTAGGACATCATACTGTATCTTAGGATATCATCCAGTATCTTAGGATATCATACAACATCTTAGGATATCATGCAATATCTTAGGATATCATCCAGTATCTTAGGATATGACACTTATGAATATTAAGACTATAGTCATGACTATTAAGACTATAATAGTCTAGGACATCATACTATATCATGCAATATCTTAGGATATCATCCAGTATCTTAGGATATGACACAACATGTTAGGATATCATCCTACCGGGTGTCCCAAAAAAAAGTACTCCTGTTTGATTCGTAATAACTTCTAAACAAGTAAAGCTTTTAAAGAGAAATAACTTGCATTAAATAGAGGAAGGACTAACTCAATATCTTAGGATATCATCCAGTATCTTAGGATATGACACAACATGTTAGGATATCATATACCGGGTGTCCCAAAAAAAAGTACTCCTGTTTGATTCGTAATAACTTCTAAACAAGTAAAGCTTTTAAAGAGAAATAACTTGCATTAAATAGAGGAAGGACTAACTTAGATTTTGATATATTACAGTTGTATTTTACTTAAAAATTCACGGAGATATTAATGTTCAAAATCGGGAGCATATTTTGGGATGTGTCTAAAATTAGCAAAAATCGGCATATCAAATATTAACTCCAGCGTTTGTTTGCTTAATGACATATCAGGCTAACTTGTATTTCAGCGAATTATCGTTAGGGTTTGTAAGGGAAATGGCGTATATTTAGACATCTTACATGTAAGTCTTAGCTCATTGTTTCCTGAAATATGAACGTTCGGAATTATGCAAGTATTTAATATTGGGTCTTCACAAACTTAAAAGTACATGAAAGACCATGGAAGGCAGGCGCTTAAATTTTTCTTAAATAGCCTAATTTTTTTATGTTTTTAATGGGTTCAAACAGAGTAACAGATTGAGTTGATTATTTCTCGGTTAGAGCAGGATGAATATTATTCTTTATTGAAGGAAATAATATTAGTTTTTGCAAATACACATCACCGTATCAACGCTAATCAACGCTACTATTTTGTTAGGTTTTGTTCCAAAAATGTTGCATGTCTCTGGGGAGTTGCTTAATTGTTATGTCTTATGGAGTTATATGGTTTGATTGTGTTTCATATAATTCTCATTTACTCTGAACTTGCCAAGATTAAGAAAAGGCAAAAGAGTTTGGGTGTTCTTAAAAAGATTTCAGAACGTTGCAGAAGTTAGAAGTGCTTCACAATTCCATTGTGACAGCATGCCCTAATTCAAAACTACGAACGATCCATGACGATCCTTCGCTATGCAGTGGTCTCATGAAATAAGGAAACGTATTCGTGCTAGGAACACACGCGAATTTCGGACGAATAAATCTTGCTTGTATTTTGTAGATATAATAATACTTTGTTTCATAATAAACAATTTGTCAAGTGTCATTTATTTACTGGTAATCGTGCATGTTTCAGTCGGGCAAATCTTGATTAATATTTGATACGCCGTTTTTTGCATATTTCAGACACATCCAGAAATATGCTCCCTATTTCTCTAAAAAAGCTTTACTTGGTTAGAAGTTATTACGAATCAAACAGGAGTACTTTTTTTTGGGACACCCGGTAGTATCTTAGGATATCAGTATCTTAGGATATCATACAATATCTTAGGATATCATAATATATCTTAGGATGTCATGCAATATCTTAGGACATCATACAATATCTTAGGATATCATACAGTATCTTAGAACATAAAACATCCCGTTTATATAACTTGGAGTGTCCGAATTTGGAAGTTACGTGGGTTTATGTACGGCCGGCCAGGTTATCCCAGAGGTGTTTCGTGCATAGTTACTGCTACTATCTACCACCCCCCGTCTTCAGATGATAATGAAATCTTGGAGTACCTATAATTGCATCACTGACCCGGGTTGAGAGTCTCTACCCTGGTTGTGGATTAATTTTGGCTGGTGACTTTAATCGCTTAGATATAAAACAATTACGCATAAATTTTGGTTTAAAACAACTTGTGAAGATACCAACAAGAGGGGGCAATACACTTGACCTAGTGCTCACAAATCTAGATCCTTTCTATCTATCGGACTCCATCATCGCATTTCCGCCCTTCGGCCTTTCTGATCATTCTGTAATTGCTGTTTTTCCTGGACTCCGAGACCCTATGTCTAACCAGAAGAAAGTCGTCTATAAACGCGATATGAGACCTTCACGCAAAGCTATGTTTGGGCGGTATTTAAGCGAAATTGACTGGTCTTTCCTTGACTCACTTGAATCAGTTGAGGTGAAAAACCAACTGTTCACCGATATGCTATCCTTTGGATTATTCTATATATTGCCTGAAAAACGCCTTTTGGTTCATCCCATGCAACGACAACCCGTGGATCAACGAGGATCTGCGTCGTCTCATACAACTTCGACAGCGTGCCTTTTTCTTCGGGAATGATACCCTCTTCAAATTCTATCGAAATAGGGTTAATAGGAAAACTTGCAAGGCTATATTATAAGACAAAAGTACATAATTTAAAACAATCTAATCCAAAACACAGGTGGCGCGAAGTAAAACACATTAGTGGAATGGTTTCCCTTTCAAGCCTACAGGATTGTATCCAATCAGAAAACTTAGAACACCTGCCCTTGGCCGATTTGGCTAATGCTATTAACAACGCCTTTCTAGAACCCATGCAGGAATTTGATCCTTTCAACCCTAATGACGACCAAATCAATAGTATGTCTGATCAACCTCTTGACATCACTACACCGTGGGAAACATATAATAAACTTAAATTACTAAGTACCTCTAAAGCACCAGGTCCTGATGAAGTTCCGAATTTGTCTACAAGGAATATGCCGAGATTTTGGCATGCCCAATCTCTAACTTGATCAACAGTTCACTCCGCCATCAATTATTACAAAGCTTATGGAAGTTGGCGAACATTATCCCAATTCCAAAGGAAAAGGTTGTATGTGACATTAATAAACACTTAAGACCCATATCTCTTACTTGTTGTCTCCCAAAACTGGCTGAAGAATTTGTCATTGAAAGGTTTGTCGCCCCTGCCATCCTGAAATGCATCGACCCTCACCAGTTCGGAGGAATACCAAGGTCATCTTCAACTATTGCCCTTATTAGTATGTTGCACAACTGGGCTAAAGCAACCGATGGTACTGGAAATTCCGTGCGAGTCGTTCTGGTCGATTACAGGAAGGCTTTTGATCTTATTGATCACTCAATCTTGATCAACAAAATTCGCCAACTGCCCATCCCAATTTATATCATAAATTGGCTTATCTTTGGATATCATACAGTATCTTAGGATATCATCCAGTATCTCAAGATATCATACAATATCTTCGGATATTAATAAAATATCTTAGGATATCATCCAGTACCTCAGGATGTCCATAACGAAAAGTATGTTCCCCTTGTATTTCGCTTGGTAAAATAAGAAAAATTGTATATATCCACATGGGGTGGGCGGGTTAATCACTTTTTAATGACTCTGTAATATGAAAATATCGACCATAACGACGACGTTGACAACCATGTTAACTTAGCAACTACTAAGTTCTGTTTAAAATATGTCGCGAGTTTTATTTCTGCTTGGAAATTTATTACCCTAAACGCTCCTTTAAGAGCCGCAAAATTTATTAAAAGAATTAAAACGAATTTCGATTGCGTTCTGAAATTAAATTTGCCAAGAGTAAGCTTGGAACCCACGACGTGCTACTTGGCTGTAAGGCAAATATTTTCTACCTTACCGGGTCGAATCGGTGACTTAAGGAATACTGATTTAGTAATAAGTAGCAGTCTTTTGGTCTACCAACTGAGCTTACGATAGATTTTAAAAGTAACTTCTATTTCACACATTTTTGAGGCAAACTATCAGTTTTATCACACATTTGTCACAAACTAATTATGAATAAATTAAAAACATTTTGTGATTGATATGAATCGGTAACGTGACTTGGCAGTGTTACTCCATTGTGACGTATGGTGTACGCCACTGAGGTCTGTGACAGGTAACGTAACCATGTAACGCAACCTAATGGTAACGCGACGCTATTGCGACGTTACATACTAATTACTTCCGCCGCTAGAGACGATGCTATTTGAACAAGGTGAGGTTATAGATTTTGCATACTAATTACTTTCGCCGCCAGATAGAGGTCTATCACTACTGATAGGTTACCGTGTATAAAAATAACTAAATACAAATACTCGTGCATGTTTTTTTTCCAAATTGCACTCGAAACCATACTATTACCTATACTAATATACTGTAATTCAAACATCATTAATAATTCATAAGCATATTGGCAAATCATGTCAACCATACTATGTCACGTGCAGTGGCTTTAAACCTGATAAAACATGTCCTCATTAGTATTCTTTATTATAAAGAATACTAATAAGGCAGTATCTATTGAGAATTTGTAGTCGTGTTTGAAGCCGTTTTAATAAACTCGCAGGTCGTGTTTTATTAGGTCTAAAGCCACTCGCGCTGCGCGCTATTAGTGCATTAAATTGTACAAGTAAGTCGTGTCCTCATTAGTATTCTTTATTATAAAGAATACTAATAAGGCAGTATATCTATTGAATTTGTAGTCGTGTTTGAAGCCGTTTTAATAAACTCGCAGGTCGTGTTTTATTAGGTCTAAAGCCACTCGCGCTGCGCGAACATTATATTAATATTACTGCATTATATTATATTATATTAACATTATATTAATATTACTGCATTAAATTGTACAAGTATTAACATATATACTATATAATTGTCTTCATAACAATTTCATATTAGGTTACTCGTACAACATATATATGTGTAATATTACTGCATTATATTATATTATATTAACATTATATTAATATTACTGCATTAAATTGTACAAGTATTAACATATATACTATATAATTGTCTTCATAACAATTTCATATTAGGTTACTCGTACAACATATATATGTGAAAAGTATTTTTGTATAATTCATTCTTCTATAGGCATGCAGCGACGCCTTCTTAACATACTATTTTTTAAGACTTATAGAGATAATCTAAATTATTATATGGACAATGGTCTTTTACTGGAAACTAACGCCCGTATTCTAAAAGGTCACTCACACTCAATGAGTGGAGGTTCAATCTGAGCTTCTCTCGAGTGTCAGTGCTGTTTTTGAATAGCTGGAGGGTTAGTGTCGTACCTTACTATGTGACTACTCACCCTCCAGCTACTCAAAAACAGCATTGACACTCAAGAAAAGCTCAGATTGAACCTCCACTCATTGAGTGTGAGTGTGAGTGAGCTTTTAGAACACGGGCGTAAGACATTCGTAGAACTCATATGCCACTATATCCGCGATTTTCCGTATTTCACGCTTGCCAGTGACATACCTCTGGTGACATACGAAGTTCGAAAATTTCCCGCCATTTTCATGACATTGTTGTTTTGAAAATACAAATAGTCTTTGGTTCGTATATAAAACGAAATTAACGTTGCAAATAAAACGAAAACATTTAAAAGACATCTTGAGATAAGTAAAATTTATTCTAGTTTTATGTTTGTACAATAATTTGAAAAATCTCGCTTTTATACTGGTCTTTCGCAGCTTATTTACATGTCGTCTTTGCGTGTATTTTTGTCACTCTGAATAAATCCATTATAATAAACAAAACATTAAACGGTTGCGAGAAGATATGGATTTACGTTCTCGTGTCAAAAGATATTGTTTTTGCCACTCGAAAATAAAATGCATACCTCCTCGCAACCGTCTAATATCCTTTATTTATTCATCTAAACAAGTTGCAGAGTTCTTAACTTGAGTAATATTCCCGTGAAAGTTTTAAAATCAATCGAATTAAGTTAATAGTATAAATCCTTACGTGTGCTGGTGGACAACTTCAGCTGTGGTCACACCAGTAAGAGCCACTGGTAAGTGATCGTCATGCACTTTACAGTATTCACAATCATTTGCATACTAGAATACACAAAAGTTACAATATTGAAGCAATATTTAACTAATTGCCACATGCTTGGACATTTATGATAAACAGTTACTTGCAACGAACTACACTTACTACAAAGAGTTCTCCAAGTTCTACAACGGTCTACTTCAAAATACTGTTCAGCTTATTCGTAATTAAATTAAATTCGTAACTCAATGAGTTCGTTCAAGTTAAGACCGCTGGAGGAAGACAAATTTTCTAGCGCATCGATGATGGAATCAAAAGCGAAAGATCCGAGTGTTGCATGTCAGCAAATGTAGCAAAAGTATATACTTATAAATATTACAACAAACGATAAGAAGATTAAAAGATGATAGTTGACAAAAACCATAGACCTCTTTTCTCTCTTGATCGTGTTTACTACTCGGCGATACAGTATTTTTTTACTGCTACGCTCCTTCAAGAAATCGTCACAACTGTTGATTAGCGAGCCGTATAATACATGTCCCCTTGTTATGTCTCGAATCCAGTAAAATAATGACTGCCACCAACTAGAATTATCAAACAGATATTTCCTATAGACAGCCATCCAGCCATAGGTATACTCGTCACCATTTTGAATGCAGCATTCAAGAGCTTTGTCAAGTTGTGTTCTTGCTTCAGCTGGGCATTCTTCTAAATTACGTATCGCAGACTGAGCAAGCAAGTTGTAGTATTCTGGATAGAAGGAGACGTATTCACCTAATACTTGTTCAAAAATGTTCAGAGATTTGCTTGACAGGAGATTTGCGCACTTCAGAAACATCCTGCGACTCGGTTGATTCAAAAAGGTATTGCCATAGAAGGCATATACATACGACAGGTTGGCTAAACAACGTGCTCTGCTTAAATTCTCAGGACCTGGCGTGCAATTTTCAAGAAACTCTGTTGCTTGCTTGAGAACTCCCTCTAATTTCCAAAATTTACTCCACGTACCTTGGTAAAACATAGCAAGCAAAAAAAATCTTTCCATAATTTTGTCTTCTTCCTTGATATAGACTTTCTTGGCCAAGTTAATCGACGTCTTCATCATTTCTACGGCAGGACCAACACTGTCCATGCTGTGATATGTCCGGGCCAAATAGAATGAGACACGACATCTTAACAACAACCATTCTTCTTCAATTTTATCTTCCGTCATGGAATAAGCTTCATGTAAAAAATTCAAAGCATCTTGATGACGGTCTAGTTCTAGATAATAGAAGCCAAGATTGGCCAATATATCACAACGTCTCTCCTTGGATAAGTCAAGGTTTAAAGAAATATCATACAGCAATTCCAGACTCTTGATAGCCCCTTCATCAGATATGTCGGCCGTTGAAAAAAGGAACTGATCTTTTTTCATGGAAATCAGGACAAATTCCGCTGTATCATTCCAGGACATATCATTGGCATAATCAACAAACGATTTCACGTGTGACCAAACAAGAACTTTAAGAAGTACGTCTTCTTCATATGTATTGTCCGTGAAATTTAATGTCAGAGATCTCATCATTTTAACAAATTCAGTTTTCCGCTGTTCAACAGGTTTCGTGTTTTCCGCACTTTGAAAAGCATTGTGAATGAACTGATGGCATTTTATTGTTTCAACGTTCTGTAACCGTCCGTGAACGAGTAATGTGCACCTTGAAATCTCGTTTCCAATTTCTTCCTTTGTTTTTGGCTGTTTATCACTCTGGACTGGTAGATTTTCTTTGACGTGGTGTGCTAGTACATTCAAAGGAACTGGAAGCAATGCACAATATGAAAGAAACGAAAATGTCAGTCGTAGAACATCACTTGTTTCTGCCATTCGCTTCACAGCCATCGTAATAGCAGTCGTCATGGGAAAACGATAAACATTGTTTTTGGAAAATGTTCGGGATTCAAGTTTGGCATTTTGACGATAAAGGTCTAGATACTCTTTCCATCTGAACTGTGTTGAAGGACGATCTTGTCTTGTTTCTCCAACATATATTGCACAACACGCCAAAGCAAGAGGAAAACGCTGCAACTCTTTAATAATTTCTTCAGCAAAATCATCAACTTCAACATCACTGATCTCCTTCAGCAATGCAAGAGCATCTTCTTTAGTCATTCCCTCGTTCAAGGACAATTTCTTTGCAAACGGATGGCAAGCAGGTACGAGATTATTATCTTGTGTTGTGACCAGGACCTGACCACCACCCCATTCCTTGCCACCAGGTCGTGGAAATAATTTATTGAAGTCATTCTTTTCGAACATGTCATCAATGATAAGAAGCCAAGCACCACTGTAATTACGGAAATAATCTCTCAGGTTTTTCATCAGTTCTTCAAGATTTTTTATTGGAAGCTCCATACGCACTGGCAGTGGTAATTTTCGCGTAGCTTCTTTCACTGATTCCAACAGAGATTCTTCTGAGTTGGCATTCAATGTAATCACCAAAGGTTTTGAGGTATCATCGGAAGATGTCGCCTTTATAAACTGGTCACCATATTGTCGAGCTAACTCTGTTTTCCCAGATCCAGGTTGACCTGTCAGAAAAACAGTTCTAACAACATCTTCATCATCATCAGTCATGGCAGAGAACAGTGATTCAATATTGTCCAATTCTTTTTTTCTTGTGCGCGAAACATGAAATGGTTTGTCAGGATAAACATTCGCTATCTAGTGAAAAGTACAAAAATATCATGTTAATTTAGGTTTTGGTTATAGTTGTAGACATGTCTAGACAATTACTACAATAACACGAAACAAAACAAAAGTTCTAGTAATTCACAGAAAACATACAAGTTGGAACAAAAAATATAAGATGTTTTTGGAAAGGCCAATTCAATATTTACAATATTTATAAAGTTTGTTCGTTCACTGCAACCAGGTATATCAATCATGTTTCGCTCGCTACTCTGGTTTAAATAAATGATTACAAAGCCCAGTCGAATTGTAATCAAGACCCAACGTTTCGACACTCCAGTCTAGTGTCTTCATCAGGGGTGATCTAAAACTGCGATCGTGGCTTCTTAAATACCCAAGGGATGACGTCACCTGCCAAGAAGATGCATATATTCTTCTGGCAAATAGGCGCCGTCATCCCTATTCAAAGCATGGTGACTCATATTTATATGCCACGCTTCTAGGCAAAGTCTTTGACCATAGCGATTGTTTGTGGTAATTACTTTAGAGTTTTCCCACGCAATCTCGTGTTTGGTGTAACATACATGTTCGGCTAAAGCTGATTTTCCCTTGTCTAAAGTTGAAACAGCCTTTTGATGTTCTTTTAGCCGTGTACCAAACTGGCGTTTAGACTGACCCAAATACTCTTTATCGCAGTCACCGCATGGTATAGAATATATAGCATGAGTCTTCTGATTTTTTTCAACAGGATCTTTTGGCTTTGCGAAAATATGGCCTAAGGTCAAATAGGGTTTTAAGGCAACCTTAATATTACAATTACTTAAGATTCTCTTGATTGGTTCTGTGACACCTTGAATGTATGGAACTATTGCAAAACCCTTAACAGAGGTATCACCCTCGGAGTTATTTTGGTTCCTACAAACAGGTGGTCTCAGGCAATCATTAAGAAAACGCTTTGGGTAATTGTTTTCCCCTAAAACATTTAGAACATATTCACGTTCATTAGCTTGAGAATCACTGTTTGACGGCAACGATTCAGCTCTTTGAAGCAAAGTTTTTGCTACGGATCTTTTATGGCTTACTGGGTGATGAGAGTCGTATGACAAGTATTTGTCTGTGTGTGTGGGTTTGCGATAAACATCAGTCTCTAACTTCCCTTCGACAGTTCTGTGTACATTGAAACCCACACACACAGACATCATTTATTTAAACCAGAGTAGCGAGCGAAACATGATTTACAATATTGTTTCACTTTTCAATTCTGAGGTTCAAAAATATTAGGCATCAGTACACGTCATTTTTTTCCTTCAATAATACAATTTCCTTTAGTTTTAATTGTATAAAGCGCCCTAAAAAGAATCACTGCCAATATTATGGAGTCGAAAAGTGCAACTATATCACCGATTATATATAATATTGGATTCTTGTTCAACATCAAACGATAACAGACAGCTATGGTGAGACGGCACGGCGAGTTCATAACTCCTTCAAAATCCGTCAAGGGACATTGTTTGGACCGCTGGCTTTAAATGGTTTAATTGCCAGCAGTTTCATGCATACTTCATGCAGTTCGACTATTGGAGCGGGTTCATCAGCTGGAAAGAATACAGGTAGTGTTGTAATATCAAGTGCTGGGATGTAATTTATTAATTGATGTGTAAAGCTGTTCAACACGTTGGCCAATTCTGACTGTTCTAGTGTTTTACCATCACGTTCGAAAGTGAAGTATTGATTTTTCTCGGATTTCCTCGCCATGTTATTCACGATATTCCATTACCTACGACAGTCGTCCTTCCTCAAATGTTGTACTTTTGTTTCCTCCTGGAACTGATTTCTTGTTAGACCCTATATTTCATAAAGGTATATTTTGGCTATGGAATGCGTTTCATTCTGAATCCATGACTATCATTTTTATGATTTTATGACCACGTGGTCGGCTGAGAAGGAACTCGTTTTTGAGCTCGTCGCAGTTAAACATAATTCACCATATTTTATGCCTTGAAAAAGATTATTGGTATTATTAAGTATTATTAAGTCATACGTCTGAGTGTATACTTGAAATGCCTCCGAAAAATAAAAGTTTAAAGAAAACTAGCCATAAAGACGACGAAGAAGTCTCGGAAGCTTGTGCTATCGCTAAACCTAATATGGCGGACACAAAGTTCTTGCCCAATTAGCCTTTCTCACGATGACGAATATCCGCCATTTTTGGGTGGCATCCAATTCTCGTTAACCAATGCAGACAATTAAAACAATGTGAAAAGCAATTTTTCAAAATAAACCAACCATTTACAAAGCAAATTTACCATCATTCGTCCAAAAAATTATAAAAAGTCGCTGTTATGTGAACTTATCTCACAGACATCGGCTGAAAAGCCAAAAATGGCGGCGTGAGAAAGGCTAATTCACTAGAATCCATCCTGGATCAACGTATGAATCAGCAAAGCAAACAATTACTGTGAAGGCCTGAAACAATACTCGAGAAGAGATCCACTTGAAGTGCATGGTATCCCGCAAAATCTAGATGAAAATACTGATAACTTGGTACAACATGATGTTTGTGATGTTACTCTGAGTGAATATCCACACCGGGCGAGCTTAAAAAATATGCCCGGCCACGGTGGGATTCGAACCTACGACCTTTGGAATACTAGCCCAATGCTCTGCAACTGAGCTACGCGGTCAGGACGATTCGAGTAAGTGATATTTTGGAACAGAATCTAGTTCCTTCGATACCAATGTAATCTAGTAATATGATTTTTTTTCTGTGCTGGTACCAGCAGGTTATTCCCACCGTGGCCGGGCATATTTTTCAAGCTCGCCCGGTGTGGATATACACTCAGAGTAACATCACAAACATCATATTCACCTGAGTACACAATACCAGCACAGAAAAAAATCATTGGTACAACATGTCGCCCAGCTGGCAGAAATAATTTGGATGCGAGTGATATATCAATAAGTCATCGACTACCAGCCAAGCGAGGTAAAACTGCTGCGATTTTTGTCAAATTTACGAGGCGAAAGGTAAGACACACTATTTATAACAATCGATATAAGTTAAGAGGCAAAACTACGAACGATTTAGGATTCACTTCGAAGTAATCGCATTTATATAAATGAAAGTTTCACCGCCGAAGCATATCAGAAATCGCATAACTTTAAATGTATTGTAGTGTGTTGCTTTTGCAATAATTTTAAGGTGGTTTAAGATGCTTCGTATAACAATCAACAGTTATCTGATCAATGCTTACTTAACCAGTCTTGCCTGTGTTCAGCATGCACAGCGAAATTTCTATTTTATACTATAGTAGCGACGAGGAGTTCTGAGATTACGTATTTCTATTAATGTTGCATTTGATATACAAAACACGATTGTCTCTTTTAAACAAAGCTATTAGAGAATAATGACGTTTTCATATTTTTCAAGCTCATGCTCCTCCACTTTTAGAGACCTTCACATCCTACAATTATCAGACATTACAAACTCATCAGACCATATTCTTTTGTATTTCGTCGGTTTTTAACTCCCCCGTAATAACCTTCAGTCTAAAAGCAGGCGGTGGTATTTGATTTCTCCGGGGGAAATACGGGGTTGAAGGTTATTACGGAAAAATAATAACCGGGTAGCAGGTTATTACGGAAAAATAATAACCTGCTAGTCTCCTACCAGGTTATTATTTTTCCGTAATAACCTGCTACCCGGTTATTACGAAAAAATAATAACCAGTTACCTGGTTTTACATTTTCAATTCAAGACCTGGCATGAGACCATGAGTCTTGAATTCGGGACTTGAATTTGCAGGAAAACTCAAAGACCCACATCTCCTTTTTCGACTAGAAAACGTTGCACGTCTCTAAGTCGAGAAAGAGACAACAGCCGTGTACCTCAGAGCCCGTCAAAACTCTACCATTAGGTAAGAGTATCTATCATTCGGCGCACGAGGACTAGCTGGATCAACCATCAAACATGCTTGTGCAGGGAATTTATACAGTAATATCTGCTCTTTTGCTTGTGGGACGTGAAATGATATACTGCGCATGCTTAACCACATTTTAAAGCGTGTTAATGCGCATGTTACCCCTAGTTATTTCGTCCCACAACTACAGCGACCTCTCATTGAATTAATATAGCTTGAATTTTTAATGAAGAAAACCTCCAAAATTCAAAAGACCCCTGGTCCCCTGGTAATAAAAACCTCTCCCTTGGCTTTTAACCTATATTTAATTATCTTTAAAAAATTCATTAATAATTCCCGTGAATTATTAATGATTTTTTAAAGATAATTAAATTTAAAGAAAATACAAAAGAAATGAATGTTTAATCAATGTTTGTAAATCGGTTAAAGATTTGTCCTGATTTACATAAACTTCAGCTTTGATTTTCTCGGCTTAGACAATGTTTATTTTTAAAATTACTTCGCCAATGAACTCATAAGATGGGTCTATTTATGCATAATTATGTAAACAATAAGTTACCACAAGCATTCAATGATTATGCAACACCAGCTTCTGACATTAATAATTATAACACCCGACATGCTTCAAAAAATCTATTTGTATTACCATAATCAACTAATTATGGTAAATTTTCCGTTAAATTAAAAGAAATTACAATTTAAGAAATATGTAAAACATAATTGTTTCTTGACCTATAATACATAGATTTTCATTTGCTCTAGTGAATTAATAGTTATTAATATTTAACTTCTTTTCACACATTTATACCAACTATATTAACTTAATTATTCATTATTGTTATACACTTTATTGTCTGACTGGATAATACTAGTACTTGAATATGAAAATATCATAGATTGACCACAAATTTTACATTTCCTTCATTCAAAGAAGAGTTGGCTTAGAAAACTTTAAAAAAAAGAAAAACTTAGAAAACTTTAGAAAAAAAGTCAAAATTTCAACATGGCGGCAAGTCATGCTTTGAGAGAGCTCTTGGTTTTTACAATTCTTACTATTCTTTTGATGTCTAACTATTATCCAAAGGCACTCCGATGTGAAGTAAATGTTCCTGCCGACCAATTGGGAATGTTTTATGCAGGGCGATCTGCGTCTGTCGTAAATTACGAAGTTTTCATGGTTCCTACGAGAATTGCTTCATATAAAAGCGAGTCATTTATCTCATATTCGAAGAAAATATCAATGTTGTTACGGCTTTCCAAGCTTGCTCTGTTGGCAGAGCTAAATCAGTAAATGTATCTGTGTGCTTATTGTTCTGCGGTGATATTGAACAAAACCCAGGACCAGATGAGTTGAATAGTTTTGATCTGCCTCGTAAAGGTTTACGCTTTGGACAGTGGAATGTGAATTATCTGACCGAAAACAAGTTCGAAGAGATCAAAATGCATATGATACACTCCAATGGCGAAAGACGACTTGATATTCTTGTATTGACAGAAACTTTCTTCAACAACCGAACAGTGCAGGAACTTTATCATGTACCTGGTTTTGATCTTTTTAGACGTGATCGAAAGACTAGTTCAGGTGGCGTGGCGGCATTTTAATTATGTCAACAATGAACTTAATGTGAAGCGTCGAACGGATTTAGAAGTGGCCGATCTAGAAATTCTTTGGCTACAGGTTTGCCCTTTTAAGTCAAGAAGACCGCTCTTCATGGCTGGGATTTATCGTCCTCTGAATATCAAATCCGAACTAGATATCAAACTTGTATACAATATTGAAAGAGCGCATTTACTAAATTCCGAAATGATATTACTTGGTGATTTTAATATTAATACCCTGGACAAAGATTGCGTGAAACACCGTATTGACGGTATTGTGAAAGCCTTGAAAGATGCTAAGTTTACTCAATTTATAGTAACACTGATTACTCGGCCAATTAGTGGCAATGTCTAGACCACATTTGGAGTAATAAGCCAGACAGAGTGTTAAATATTTTTTGCCCAAATATTGGTATTTCAGACCACTTGCCTACTGTTAGAGTCCGCTTATATAAACAACCCCTAAATGCTCCCAGCAGTCATAAATATATTATCTATCGATGCTTCAAGAATTTTAATGAGTCTGAATTCTTGAAGTCATTAAATGAAACACCATGGGATTCGGCCTTTGTCTTTGAGGACGTGGATGATATCGTTGATGCGTGGTATTGCCTTTTTAACGATGTGGTAAATATTCATATGCCACTTAAGAAAAAACGTGTTAAGCATGACACGCAACCAAAATGGCTTACCCCTGAGCTGCTTGAACTAATTAGATCTCGAGACCAGAAACTTAAGAAAGCTAAATTTTCTAACTTACAAGAGGACTGGCAGGAATTAAAACAAGCAAAAAATAAGGTTACAGCGGCAATTAGATTAGCCAAAAAGAAATTCTTTCATCAATCTTTTGAAGAAAATGGTAATAATCCTAAAAAACTCTGGACCATAATTAGACATCTCTCGGGCAGAAATACGAACAGTAGTGGTGTTGTATTCCTCGAGGAAAATGGTGAACATATACGAGAACCATTGCAAATGGCTGAAATATTCAATGCTCATTTTTCAAACCTCGCCAAGAATTTGACCGATAGCAACATCAACAGCTACGATCCTGGTACCCTCTTTAATCTAGTAAGCAAACTTAATTTAACAAGCAAGATGGTTTTTCCTGAAATGACAACGCAACAAACATTAGAATTGATACAGGCGATTTCAACTAACAAGGCAACTGGTATTGATGGCCTGAGTGCTCGACTGGTAAAGATAGCCGTTTCAGCGATAGCTCCATCACTTACTGAACATCTGTATAACTACTGGCGTATTTCCATCCGCTTGGAAAGTGGCAAGAATAACGCCGTTACATAAGACCGGTGAGAAGTCAGACAAAAACAACTATCGACCAATATCAGTTTTGCCAATTCTGTCAAAACTCTTCGAACGTCATATTTATGATTCTAGTCATATTCATTTTTTAATGATAATAATGTTTTATAATTATATCAATTCCAATCAGGTTTTAGACGTCATCATTCAACTGAAACTACTCTCATAAATGTTTATGATAGATTGATTAACAACCTTGATAATAACTCTATAAATGGAATAATCTTCGCGGACTTCAAGAAAGCCTTTGATCTTGTTGATCATAAGCCGTTAATCAGCAAACTCCATATTTATGGTTTTGAAGATATTAGCTTGAAGCTTGTGACTTCGTACCTTACTTCGCGCAAGCAATGTACCTCTTTAAATAGTCAACTTTCCTCGTCCCATTTGTTAACCCATGGTGTGCCACAAGGCTCCATTCTTGCCCCCTTACTATTTCTAATATTCATCAACGACCTCCCGGAATCAATATTATATCCTGCAATAGCCGATATCTTTGCTGATGATACGACGATTAGTAACTCCTCTTCTTGGCAAGATGTAGAGTGCTTACATAACGATCTTATCACCAATATACACGAAACCTAGAACACTGGACAGAAAACAATCCTTTTCTATTAAACACAGGAAAGACCAAAACAATTATGCTCATTACTGGTAAAAGACTGATAGGAAAACTTTCTCCTGATGGCCAAACATTGAACATTGCAACGAAAACTGGTGAATACTTACAGCAGGTTCGTAGTTATAAACTTCTTGGAGTTATACTCGATGAAGAATTAAATTTTAATGAACACATGATTGATATGGTTTGTAAAAAACTATCGAAGAGGATTGGGCTTTTGCGTTCTATACGTCACTGCCTACCATTGAAGGAACGTATTCAATTCTACAATGCAATAATTAAGCCGATATTTACGTACGGTGGACTGATATGGTCTTCGACAAGCAAAGAAAACCTACGTAGAGTGTTCAAACTCCAAAAGAAAGCAGCGAGAGTAATTCTGGGCACTAGAATACGAGAAGAGAGAACTGTTACTTTGTTTAATTCAATTCAATTCAATTTATTCATATAATATACGTACATATACATTAATAAGACAAGCCGCTAATAGCTACAAAGCTAGTCGAGGCGGACTTGTCTATAGTGACACAGTTACAAAGCCATTGATTATATAGCAAATTATATATACATAATATGAAATAATTTTCAATGAAATTACATATTAATAAACTTAACGTTTTTAGAAAGGAAAAAAAAAAGTAATAATAATAATATACTGTATATCAATTAAGAACAGGGAAAAAAGTGGGAGTTAACACTTCATTGCGTGATATTTTCTTAATTTTACAGCTGAGCGACTCTATGTCCGGATATAAGTGTTTTCACTCTGTAAAATGTCCAAAAGGATACTACGTATCCTTTTCTTAAATGCTCTTTTTGGCAATTCTCTTATGCAAGATGGTACCTCATTCCACCATTTTACTCCAACATGAGAAAAAGACTTTCGTTGAATTTCTAGTTTCGATTGTTTAATGTAAAAATTATTTGACTTTGAAGAACGAGTATTATAAGAATGAATATCTGACGTTTTCTGGAAAAGATTGAGAATATTGACTGGTGCAACTCTATTTTTAACATCATACATCAATGTAAGTACATTTTCGTAGAATAAGATATTTACTGGTAAAATATTTGTAGCAACAAAAAAAGGTATTGCGTGTTCTCGTTTATCTGAAAAATGGATGAAGCGAAGAACAGGTTTTTGCAAAACTAAGATATTACTCCAATTTGACTTGCTTGTCTGACCCCAGATAACAAGACAATAGGAGAGATATGGACCTATTAGCGATTTATAAATATTAAGTAAAGTATGTTTAGGTACAAAGTGCCTTAATTTTGAAATCATGCCTACAGTTTTACTTATTTTACTTAGAACATGTTCTACATGATATTTCCATGAGAGATTCTTGTCCATTAAAACCCCTAGATATTTAATATAATCTTCACAATTAAGCTCTGTATATCCATTCAATTCGTTATTATACATTTTGATAATAGGCTGATATACTAATTTCTTTTGATATGGATGAAAAATAACAAAATTAGACTTTTTTAAATTAAGACTAAGTTTATTTGAACTAAGCCAGTCATATAAATGGCAAAGTTCTTCATTAACAATTTTTTCAAGAGATTTAAGGTCTATTTCGGAATAGAGTAGATTTGTATCATCAGCAAATAGATAAAATTTAAATTTCTTAGAGCAATTTTCAATATCATTTCATATAAAGCAAGAAAAGTCTTTTTGGATATGTGATTACCAATTTGTGTAGTTTCCGTTCTACCATTTAAATATGAACTAAACCAATCATTAATTATTCCTCTAAATCCGTAATAACATAATTTTTGTAAAAGAATTTCATGATCAACGGTATCAAAAGCTTTTTTTAAATCAATAAATACTCCGCACGAAAATAATTTCTTAGCCATATTTGACTGAATGGTATTAACAATATCAAGAATTGCATGTTCAGTTGAATGCAATTCTCGAAAACCATACTGACAAGAAGAAAGGATAGCATGTTTTTGAATAAAGCTCTGCATCCTTTTATACATCATCTTTTCAAAAAGTCTATTAAAATTAGATAATAGCGATATCGGCCGGTAATTATTAGAATTGGAATGATTTTTGACATTTTTAATTTGGATGGATATACTCCTAACTCAATTGATAAATTAAATAATCTACACAATACGTAACTAATAATATCGCTGGCACATTTCAATATCTGAGAGGGACAAGAATATAAACCATGTGCTTTGTTGATTGGAAGTGCTAAAGTCTCAAGTTTCACTTC